CAATAATCAACTCTTTATGCTTTATAGCTCCCTCTCAAGGTCAAGATATTAATTAACCTATAAAACAATTTTTCTTGACTGAAATCAACCGATTAGCTATTCCCGTTTGGAAATTATATATCACAACTACATGTTCCGAGATTTTCATGGTCGCAGCTACTATTGTACGGCCGTAGGCGCTATTTGAAATTTATTAAAATTTACCGGGAGCACCGGTAAATTTTTATATTCCATTTTTCTCAAAAGCAGAAGTGTTTTAGGGGCTAAAAATTGTTATGCTTATAATTCATCCATAGGGGCATCCATATATATAAAAATTGTAAAGAATTACTATCCACCCAATTTTCAAAATTTACCAAAACTTTGTACTACCTGAATGTTTATGATGAAAGATTTTCAAATTGTACAGTTAAAGACCGTCAATACTACTGGGCCAGAAGGGATTATACCACACAGCGAGGTCACTGACAGGGGTGGCTATCTCATTAACTCAGCTCTCAACTAACGTAAGAAAAAGAGGATCATGAGGAACCAACAGGCACCGATTGGGGAAGTTTTCTATATAGAGGGAGCATGTAGCTACAAGTAGTACAGTGGGGCTTTAATCTAAAAAGTGATCTAGCAATGAGAGGAAGGGGTAAGAAGGTGAAGGGGAAAGCACGCATGTGACAGCATGCAGGCACACAAGGCGCGGTGTATGCCATATTTAGAACTTACAGGTGATGAAAACAGGTTCCTTTGCTCTCATCCGGAGTTTCCCCTCTCCCTGCATGACTTCAACCACACCAAGTAGGTTACACAGGTCAATACTCAACCCCCCTACCCCTTCCCCCTTCTGAACTGCTATCAATGTGTATGTATGTATGTACAGCATGTCTGATATATTACTCCAATATACTGAGTCTGGGAGGATTTTGTACATGAACTTTATTTGTGAAGGTCGCCAAGTTGTCACCAATGCAAGATCAAATGGGCCTAAGGCAGGTAATAACAAACCTAAAGTGAGCTGTAACAGGTACATGAGCATTTGTCTACATCAATAACCCACTACTTGTAATGGCCCAAACTGATTGAATCTTTGTGCAGGCAAAACGTACGACGTACGTACTATGGCAGGCCGTTCATGCCAATGTTTGCACTCACTATTTACTGGCATCTTTCTATCAAGGGACGTACAAATCATGGTCACAAATGTACATTTTTGGATAATTCATATGTTATGTTATATGACCTGGGGGGTGTTTCACAAAGATCCTAAGTTGAACTTATCTCTAAGTTGGACTTAAAATTTATGGGAAGCCATTAGCATCCTTGAAAACATTTTGTAATTTTTTTTTAGAAGGCATAAAATGTTGATTCAAATCATTCATATTTTCTATTATCATGGGAGATTTCATGTTCTTGATGTGGAATTGATGAAAAGTCTAAAATACTCCAATTTTTGCTTTTGAATATATTTCATTTTAAGGCTCCAATGGCTGTCCATACTTTTTAAGTCCAACTTAGTGTTAAGTTCTACTTAGGATATTTGTGAAACACTCCCCTGCAATAGTTAGGTCCAACTTAAAGGCGATCTTAGTATTTTGTGAAACACTCCTCTGTCTGTTATACTGAATAGTTAGACTGTGTTTAAAAGTACATGCACGTATAAAATATTTTGCCGCGTTTGATTATTTTGCTTTCTATATTGAATCATAACAAAATAAGGAAATAAAACGAAGTGAGCAAAAAGACGCAGCAAGTCGACTAAAAACATTTTCAAAACCATTTAGTTAAAGAATGATTTTGTTTAATAATCATTTCGTTATTTATTTCTACAATCTAATATATTAGCCCATGTTGGATAAGAGTGAATTAGTTATTATATTTCATTTAAGTAGTCATTAGTTATAAGTTACTAGTTAATAACACGATCGAAATGGCGCCTGGTGTGGGGTCGAATGGGGTGATGTGTGCAAATGGACGATCAACCACTTGATAATCACTGATTAAATCTCTTGATTTAGATAAAAACTATCAATAGTGACAAACTTTACATTTCAAGATCAATCATCTAACTTTTTGTTGTTGACAGGAATCTATATTCATTATCAAGATTAAACGTATCTGATTTTGAAATATCTTTATAACATTCCTTGAATACAACATTTAAAAAGTTATCGATATTAGAGGTTAGGATTTTGTTTATTTGTCTGTAATGTATGATCCAATATTGGCTCCGACATCAATTAATTTGAAGGTTTAGGGTAATAGGAAGAAGTTTGGTTGTAGTGTTTGGCGAAGAGTTGAAACGGAATGTTAAAGAAGTTGGTATCTTTGAACCCCCCCCCCCCCCTCCCTCCCAAAAAAGAGGAATGTAACTAATCAATACAATCAATGTCATAAAGTTGGTAACGGATGTGACCACCATGGTCGTTACCAATTAGAGTTGTATAAATCCCATATTTCTATGATTTAACAACAAATATTTTTTTAATGTAGGCATCTACATTTTTGGTAATTTTAGCTTCCAGTTTGATTGCAATCCAATCTGAGTCATCTGAGGTAGAACAAAAACGATAAGGTAGAAAAAAGTGTTATCAATACTGATTCAGAAGTCGTATTATAAGAAATTCTTATAAGTTCTTATTCTAGTATTCTGTATAGGTGTGCGCTCTTTCCAAATATTGATCCTTCCATTATAACAAATAACGACAGATGCCAGAAGAGTATGCTTACGCATGTCATTGATCATGACCCTAGATCTGACGTCACATTTACACATAATTATCACTATAATAGCCTTGAGTCTACATTTATCTATATGACATCTAACTAGTCGGGTTAAAATACGGGGAAAATGCCCCAGCCCCAACCCCAACGAATTGCAACGAAAGGTTTTTCAACGGTTTCCGGTAGTGGTAGACATTAGAAACAACATACTAAAAATCGAGAAAAAAAAACGGACCCCCGAAAAGGGGTTATTTTCAAAATGGCGTCAAAGATGGCCGCCAATACCTTAAAATGGCAATATATCATGTGATATAGCAATGTGATTTTGATGCCTATACCTAGTTCTGGGGAGGGGGGGGGGGTCAAAGAACCCATTCATACTACTTACACTGGGTATGGCCACCAGGACACCTGGAAATCCAAGATGGCGTCCAATATAACTATATACAGTGAAGCTATCACTAGCAAGATTGAAATATGTTTTAGAGGACAGAATGTTTACTGGTTAGCCTTGAATTATCATAAAGGTTAAGAGAAGCCTAATATTCATAACGATACAAAAGATGGCCGCCATTTTGTAATTCAAAATTGCCGTCCGGAAATAAGCCATAAATCGTGATTTATCTATCTGAGAGCTGTAATTTGGGTGTCTATACCTACGTTTCAGGGGTCGAAAATATCCGTTCATACCACTTACAATGGGTAATGATTACTAGAAAATGTAGAAATCTACGATGGTGTCTCAAACAACCAATAAGTATCTAATATGACCAGATTTGGGAGGTATTTTTTCTATTAACAGTACGTAGTGGTGTAGATTAAATGTCTTTTTTGAGGCATTGATGTTCATAGATAGGCTTTACAACAATAATCTTTATGCAAGACAGTTTTGTAATGTTGTTACTACTGTGCTCTCCGATTAAGCTGGTTGCACTGGCATGAATGTAAGACATGTGTGCCATTGAGAAGGACATGGTAGCCTTAGATGAAAAGTGATTTACATTTTCCACCACCAAGCCGTTTAAGATGGCCTGCGGCATTTGAAAACAGTATTGAATCATTAGCCACAGTATGCCATTGGTGTCTAGCCCCTATTTTGGGAAGATAATAATGTACTTATTAAGACTTGTAGCAGACAAAAATCATACAGATCCAAGATGGCGTCGAAAATGATTGCATAATCTAAGAGAGTTACGAATCATTTAACAAACTAACGTCTTTCGTCATTTCTTAAAATGTGAGTTTATATAAAAATATATCTTTTAAGTTTGGTAGCATTATGTTTCAAGATGGGATCCAAGATCCCATCTTGAAAGATTTTTCCTTGTTAATTTTAAAATGGTAAATTTTGAACAATAGTTATTGAAATTCAGTTTGTTGGGTGGTCGATAAAAAAGTATATAACAAAACAGATGGTGACACTACCATTTAAAAAATATAAAAGGAAGAGAGATCTCAAATGAAATATATCACGTCACTTAGAAGGTGAAATATTATCAAAAGCGCAATTCCCTATTACATGTAGTTGGTTGACATGATTTTTTTAAATATATAAAAATTAATTTTCACTTTATTTGCTGCTTGCTGTTCTTTCGTAGTGAATGATTCATCTACGCGATTTGGGAAGAAAAGAGAGAATGTTATTGTTAGCATCACCACGCTCATGCCCTCTACAATGATGTCTAGATATTTTGACGACAAAAAACATATATATTTTGACTTTATGTACAATCAAATTTGCCCCATAGTCTGGTGCGGGACAATTCGTTGATAACTGTACATAGTCGTCTCGAGTTAACGTTTAGACGCGTAGAATAGGAATAACTAACATGGGGATTATAATAAAGAGATTATAACAAAATAAAAACAATGTTAAAAACATTGGCATGAATGTATACTTTAGTCTATTCAATATTTTTGTATTCAATATTCTTATGATGAATTGCGAAATTTTAATGCCTTCAATTATATTTTCACATTACGTGATTATTACATGGTAATGTGGTGAGTCACATGCAAAGTATCATAATAATATACATGATATAGCGAACATTTATTTCATTAAATTATCTCCCGTCTCTTATTTTCATTGTTTTCCACAACAATTACAATTTAGACGCTAAAGCAAATTTCTAGATGTGCATGAAAACCTATTTCATTTTTTAAATTATTTCGTGTATATCACCGCGACGGAGGATTATCAACCTTAAATTATTTATTCTGTATATTTATATATATATATATATATATTGTAAGTGTAATTACAAAAGTAATTACTGTAAAACCACATTCAGGGCAGAAAGGAAAAATACAATTTTAAATACGAGATTCATTAGATTTCTACCATTTCTTTAATTTCAGTTGGAAAGCTGCTTTATGCAATACGACAATAATATACTAATCTAACATCTTGGCATAGTTCTTCTTTTTTGCATTGTGGTGAAAGTTATATTCTTCATAAACTTTTTCTTGTTTTAACAAGTAATGCAGAATTAATCAAGTATTCGATTTATTCAATAGTAGCGAATTTATGATAAGTGTTGAAAACGGATAGATCAAATACGTCGGAAAATTGTGCAATTAACTTGTTTTAATCTTTAACCAAATAACGATAACTGGTTTTAAATAATACTTTTCAACAAGTAATTGACAAGAGGGCTGTATATCTTAGATGCTCTTGTATATAACATATTGCATCAATTGTTACCCAAGGCCCTCTGTGGTAGCAGTTGGGTAACTGAAAAAGCCATCATTGATTATATGAAACTGAAGGAAAATTATTTTTAGATACATATTTGTTCTTCATTATTCCAGTCCTAAATAAATTTCTTGTAATGATTTATTGTTGAGTTATATTTCTAAGGTGGTTGTCTCTTAATTACATAAAACTTCTTGACAGGACCATACAATATCAGCATAATCATGATGATACGAAGTAAACGTAATAGACTATCGATATTATACAAATAATAAATGATAACAACAATTAAATAGCATATTAGAAACTAACAAGGTTTAGAACAAGTGACATTCACATCTCAATTCAAGTACTGAAACCATTAGACTACGACACTTTTATATACAACGAATTATAAAATATCATATTTTCAAGTACTGATGACGATTCAACATGTTATTGTTACAACCTTTTGTGTAGAAGTGTACATAAAATCATGCAACTAGAAATACAGCATAATGTTAACTAAACCCGCTCTCTACGGGCCTACTGAGAAAGTGATAAATGTCTAATATTTGAACAAAATTTGTTACTGTAAAATAGAAACTACATTAGGTTTTAATATTGTCGCATAATAATTTACACTCTCTAATATGAAATATGTTGTGTCGGTGCGTGCACATTATTAATATTCAATCTGTTCCAGGAGCAGTGACCCCAGGAAGGGGACAGTGGGATCAGGGCCCCATGCCAAAAATTGGGGGAGGGGGGAATGCTAACAAGAAGGTGTATAGCAAATAATGGGTAAAGGCTTCAACACGCTGTTTACGCTCCCAAGTACTCTAAAATTTCATCATCTGAAATACCATGACATGAATCAGGGACAAAATAAAATGGCATAATGCTAATAGTAATAATGATTCGATACAAAGTTCTTCTGATCTTTTTACAACTTGGAATGACCTGCTGCTAACATCTTAATATGATAAAGTCATGGCTCGATGTTGTAAATCTGTTACGGCTTGGAAAGACCTAGCTGTTATTAATAGCTTGATATGATTATGATATTACCCAATATTGTTAATCTTTTAAAACTTAGTATGACTTGGTGTTGGTATGATCAAATTAAGCCTCGATGTTGTATACCTGTTCACAATTTTGAATAACCTGCTGTTAACATCTTGATATGATCATGGTTTATTGGTACATAGGTCTTCCTTGAGGGTTCAATGATGTAAACTTCTCCGTATCCATCAGGAGCAAAACCCCTCTTTACCAATTCAGTCTTCTTGTGCTTGAAGGTACCGGTTAGATCCATCTCATCGAGAAGCCGGAGAAACTTTGGCCGAGCGTAGTCCGGGAGGGATGAGGTGATGTGCTGGTAGAGACCTGAGAAATCTAAGGTGGCTCCTTTATGTAAAACAATTGATGCCATCCCCGCCCTTCCATTGTGACCTTGAAAGTTATAGGTGTTTTTGAAGGAGTTGTGTTATTAATAGCATCAGATTGGTAGCAGAAACATATTCTTCCGCTTGACACACATGAGCAAATAATCACCGCTTAATTGCACGGGTATTTATGATGATGTACCTATTAATGTAGACTCGTCGTAATACTCTCCAAGTAAATTAGCACAGAATGGCGGTAAATAATGAAAGTACTGTTATGTCATGTTCTGTTTTTTTTCTTCTTCATTTCAACGTCACTTCAGTATGGTAAATTTCACAGATAGAAATTTTGTAACCCTTTTATCATTTTCAAACCACCGGGTAATATTAAAGAGGTCTCTCTTTCTTGCTTCTGTTTTTATTCTGCAAATGAAATGGCAACTTATGTAATTGAAAGTTCTGGTCTAATTTCTAAACATACGAATCATTTTAATGACCATTCATAACACACTACTTCTGTTGAAGATGACATTATCTGACAAATCTTACCCGGCACATGTACACCATACACATTAGCTTCAAGTATTGCTGGAAATAAAGCAAGAACATGAGAAACTTCCTGGGTAGAAATATTTTCTCCTTTCCATCTATAGAAATTTAAAAGAAATAATGAAATGTAACTGTTTTGTAGTCAACATAACTTGTAATTTCCTTAGTTTGTAAAATAAAAAGTACATAACACAGCATATGAGTATAGTCATTATAAATTCGAAACGTCAGGGGATTCCCTTTTTGTTAAAGATAATTATAAGTAAATAAACACATAAAAGATTTTTTCAAGAAAAACTAAACAAAATAACGTAGTCCATTTATTTACTTGAACTTCAATTCTTTTTAGAAGTGTTTAATTCCATGAAAGATTCAACTACTATCCTTTTAGGACTACCCCCACATAGTGTTAACGCAAAATCGCCTTCGTTACTCCCTTACATCTACTTTTTCACAATGTACGCACCTTTTCTCATTTGTATCATTTGTCACTTTTGGGGGGGGGGGTACAATATTGTACTTAAATGGAAAAACAAGTTAGTCAGAAACATGTACACCAGATACATTTAAAGATCAATTCATCAGCAAAAATAAAAATCAGGGTTATCATTAGAGGATTATGAGACTACGAGGAATACAATAATCATTAGAATTCAAAGAGAATACAAGCCCTGTATTAAAGTAAGAATCTTTCCGAATGAAGGAGGCAGAAGAACAGAAAAGGAGAAAGCTAATAATTTCGTAACATGCTGATGGTATAGTGGTCAAGCAGCAGTCTCGAAAACTAGACGTCCTGGATACGAAAACAAGTCGATAAGTTAAGAATTTTAGAGAGGCGTTGACCTTCAATCACCAAATCCCTCGAAAAGAATGTTAAGACGTTTGTTTGATTTTCTTAAACTACATTAGCAGTCAGATAAAATAGGTATAAACATTAAAATAGGATATTATAAAACATATCTTTTCTAATTTGAAAATATTGAAGTATGCTATAAAAAGAGCAAAAAGGAGTCCCTTTCTTCTCTGATATATTACATAATTTGTATTTCTCTAAACGTGAGGCATTTGATATTTCTACCTGAATGTATCTCCGAGCCGGTCAATGAAGTAAACGTATTCATCGACATCGATCTTCATGAGATCACCGGTATTGAAGTATGCGTCTCCCTTTGTCTTCACATCCCTTACAATCTTCTTCTTTGTCATCTCTTCTGGTCCACGATATCCAACGAAAGCTGCTTTCTCCGTGATCTTAAGCAACATCAAACCTGTCGAGCCTGACGGTGAAATGGAATGTAGAATTTTTAATTCATATGATCAACAATAAAACAGGATAAACTAATTGATCCCTTTTAGGAGGCGGATCAGAGATCGTCGTCCAAATAGGACGGGGGCTAAATTGGTTTCGCTAGCCCTGTCCAGGCCCATGTCAATAAGAGGAAGAGCAAATATGAGGCACGTACGAAAAAGTTGGTTCTTACATTTTCAGAAGTGTTAAAACTCCTGAGATTTCGTAAGGAGCATCAGCCATCTTGACATTTATGAGGGTTTATCTCTCTTTTTCGACGTGTGGGAGTCGTCTCATGCTTCGTTCTTAAAGGTAATACAAAGTTTTGGGAAATTTTGAAAATTGGGTGGACAGTGATTCTATACAATTCTAATATATTTGGATGGCCCTGTGGATGTACATTGTATTATAAGCTCTAGAAAATTTAGCCCCTAAAACATTTCTGCCTTCGAGAAAAATTGAATATAAACATTTACCGGTGCTCCCGGTAAAATTTGATAAATTTCAAATAGCGCCAACGGCCGTACAATGGTAGCTGCGACCATGAAAATCTCTGAATATGTAGTTGTGATATATAATTTCCAAACGGGAATCGCTAATCGGTCGATTTTAGTCAAGAAACATTAACAAAGCTTAATTGATATCTTGACCTTGAGAGAGAGCTATACAACATAAAGAGTTATTATTTACAATATCATCACTTTAGACTCGTTTCAACCGCGACAACGATCACTGAATATTGTAGGATCGCATGTGCTTCCAATATGTTAATTTGAACCAAATACATGACTCCATACCAAACCTCTGTATTACCTTTAAGTACTCTATAAAGGTAATGAAATTGTATTCAATCATGAGTTGCCGTTATGCGGCATGTCAATGGTGATGACATTAATGGAAACCTTAATGCTATATGTGAAAACGCAAACGAAACAAACAAAAAATAAGAGAAAATGAAATAGAGAAAGGCAGACAGATAGAGAGAAAAAGAGTAAGAGACAAAATGAGAAACAAAGAGAGAGTGAGAGAGAGAGTGAGAGGGAAAAAAGAGAGAGAGAGAGAGGAAAGGGGTGATATGGGCAGATTATCATGAAGCTAGATAGAGATATGGTGACATACTCAGAAAGTGTTAAACAGGTGGAGGGGTGAAATGTTTAGGGACTAGCTGCCAAGGGAATCAAAAATTTGTTTGGATCCGCACAAAAAAAAAATCAACAACAACAACAACAACAACAAATCAACAACAAAAAATCAACAACAAAAAATCAACAACAAAAAATCAACAAAAAGTCGACGTTACGGGAATATAAGTATTAAGCACAAGAGCCTGTCTGTTATACATCGCCCCCCCCCCCCCCTGTTTACCAATGTCTTGATACGCCCTTGATGATGGTCACATGACATGATGCTCAGTATCTTACCTAGAGGAAGCCGAACGCACAGACCATCGGGATTTCGTTTCGGTTTTCCGCTCTCATAATCACAGTCGACGATCTCCACTCTATCCAGCATTCTCTGCCATGTAATAAAACACAATCCAAGTAAATTCTTAATTTGTCCATATCAAATCTTATGAAAGCTTAACAGAGGATTTTTGCAAGCATAAAAGTCATATAAAGAAACAACGAGGACAGTGATTAGGTGATAAATATCTGGACACCCAACCTGTGGTGAAGTTACGGATAGCATGACATGATATTGACATAAGAACATAATGACATTATGATGTCAACATCGACTTGAAAATGCCAAATTATATGCTATCGCAAACCAAAGAAACGGGTTCAAAACCTTTTCTTCATTCCTTTCTCTTTGGGGGCTGCGTATCACCTTAAAGGTAAAGACCAGTTTCGGAAACGCCCCCCTCTCAAAAAATGAAATGGAAGCTCTTATTTACCAATCATGTGAAAGAATATGTTTTGACTAATACGTGATCATACAAATTTTGCCGAGAAACCGCCTACTAATTGATATATTTGGTAAATGATTATATATATATTTGGACCTGATAGATATAACGCACGTGTTGCGCAAGTGTTGGGGTAGTCCCATATACATCTTTCCGTGTACAGTGCTTGTAACTTTATCAAGACTGGGCCAAATTTCTTATCATTTTGATGATTCCAGAACCTTGCAGTACACACCAATACCTATATGCTAGATGATCAACCTTTTCTGATCGATTCCACAACGTTTCTTTCACAATGCAATCGCATGACCATAACTGGTCTTTATCTTTAAGAATGAAGTATAAGCGAAATTTAATGGTTCTTTTTCATAATTTAATTTCTCATATTCGAAAGGTTTTTGTTTAAAGATCTCGACAATGATCTAAACTAGCCTTTGTTTTAGAAAGACATTGTCCATAACAATTTTTTTTTTTAAATCGATCAAAATACATTTGCACGGTAAATTCAGAGCAAATGGAGTGTATATTTAAGGGCACTGACCCTGAGAATCCATGAATATCTGCCGACACTTCCCACGTGACCGTCGATGTTAAGGAAACTAAAGTTACCCTCAGTAGCCGCATAGAACTCAAAGATTTGAGTGATGTTGAATCTCGTCTTGAACTCTTTCCAGATGTCGGGTCTCAAGCCATTACCCACCGCCCTCACACGACGAGGATAGTCGCCGTCGTTCTCTCTCTTTGTGCAATTTAAAAAAAATTATTAAAAAAAAAAATCCACGAGAGTTATCAGTAATTTACAACACTTCTCATAGCAGGTAAAAGACTGAGGCCAGGAATTGCATACGACACGAAACAGTTTACAGTGGGGTGGTTCGTTTATAGTTTATTATTAATATAATAGTATATTTTGGTGACAATATTAAATTTTCATTATAACACATTTTGAAACCGGAAAGTTGATTTTTGGCAAGCATCGTCAGCCCCAGGTAAAATCGTCATTTATGTACATTGTATGATAAACAATAATGGGCCTACAATTGAGCCCTGAGGGTACACTGTAGTCAGGTAAACAGATACCTGAATAAACACCATCAATAACTACATACTGTTATTTATTTTGGATGTAGTTCCTAGGACACTCTAAAGCTTTTCCTCCTATTCCGGAGTTTGAGAGTTTGTAAAGAAGAATACGATAGTTTATCGTATCGGAAGCATTGAAGAAGTCCAGGAGCACCGCTAAAGTATATTCGCATTTATCAATGGAACATGCTACTTTATTTATTCACGTTAAGAGTACATGTGTTGGATTGTGCTTTGCTCGAAAACCAAACTGCGAGTCGGATGAGATATTACATGAAGTGAGAACATTAACTGTTCGAACATTAAAAAACAAAAAAATCAATAACTTTAAATAGCCATATCAATTAAATATTGGTCTATAATTTACCAGCTGTAGTGGATCCCCTTTCTTAAAAACGAGAACCACTTAAAAGCAAGTTTCATAGCTTGTGGTACAACTCCTGTAATAAGAAACAAATAAATATTTTAAAATGTGAACCAAGGGTTCAACAATATGTTGCCCAATTTTTTTCGAGGGACGATTACCAATTTATCATAATAAGAACTTATTACCAGAGAACCAGAGCTTATCACCTATATACCACCTTTAACACCCTCTAACCAGGATCCAGGAAATATATACACACCTCACATATATACCACCTGTAACACCATCTAACCTCGGATTGAGCCAGGAGGTATATACACCCCTCACCCACATACAACCTGTAACACCCTCTTACCTTGGGCTGAGCCAGGAGGTATCTACACACCTCACCCACATACAACCTGTAACACCCTCTTACCTTGGGCTGAGCCACGAGGTATCTACACACCTCACCCACATACAACCTGTAACACCCTCTTACCTTGGGCTGAGCCACGAGGTATCTACACACCTCACCCACATACAACGTGTAACACCCTCTTACCTTGGGCTGAGCCAGGAGGTATCTACACACCTCACCCACATACAACCTGTAACACCCTCTTACCTTGGGCTGAGCCAGGAGGTATCTACACACCTCACCCACATACAACCTGTAACACCCTCTTACCTTGGGCTGAGCCAGGAGGTATCTACACACCTCACCCACATACAACCTGTAACACCCTCTTACCTTGGGCTGAGCCAGGAGGTATCTACACACCTCACCCACATACAACCTGTAACACCCTCTTACCTTGGGCTGAGCGAGGAGGTATATACACCCCTCACCCACATACAACCTGTAACACCCACTTACCTTGGGTTGGGCCAGGAGGTATATACACACTGTACCTATATACTACCTGTAACATCCTCTTACCTTGGGTTGAGCCAGGAGGTATCTACACACCTCCCCGATGTACTGGAAGATAGTTACTTGAAACCTTCTGACGTCATCCCAAAAATGCGACGCCGAAAACTTTTTAGCAATGGCTATGGTGCCCCCTAGTACAGTTTCAGTGGATTGAATAGCAAGAGAAATATTACTTTCCCTTGATGATATTTTTGAAACACAATCTCGTTGCTACTCTCTCATTTTCGTTGCAATCATGTCCATCACAAAAGAATTATATAATCGGTGCATTACCCTATCAAATACTCGATTTTAGCCAATTCATCTACGTGGCTATATATCAAAATATTAACATTTTAGAACATTGATCAGGTAAGTATTCTCTAGACAAGTTGCATAAAACGGGAAGGCATGGTGCCAGGGCAACGATGCATTGTTAGAGGATTCAGTTGGGAAATTAAAGGCCTAGCCAATAGTATGAACCTGTTGCCCGCTTTTCATTCACAACTACGTTAGGCTCGCCCTCGACCGCTCGCTCCCTCTTTCTAAACGAAAAATACGAACCATAATATCTTAATGAATACAAAAAGTTTAACTATCAGTCTATTTAAGAAGGAATCTTTTATTGTAAAGAAGAAGAAAAGAGAGAATATTTTTTCCTGTGTAAGACTCGGTCTAATGTGTCATTAAATAGGTATCAGCGGTTGTAATTATAGATTTATAAATATAAATTTATTCCGCTCTTACATATTTATCTATTTTGTTTCCTTTGTCTTCTTCTGTTCAAATTGTATTTGTCATTAATTACATACGTTTAGGATTACCGTTATTTGAGGGATTCACATTCTACAAGCCCTGCTTCTCAGTTTCCACAGTTTTTACTTTATAAAAAAAAACATAACTTAGAGCAAATATATACATTTTTTTGTAATTCAGTTAATGATTTGCAAAATGCATTATGTTAATGATCATTGATTTCTGTGATTGATTTTATTGTCATAATTGTTTATATGTATTGTTCTGTTGGAAATAAAAATAAAACTGTAAACTGAAAACTGAAACTAAATACCTGCCGACATGTTCTACAATGAAAGTATAAATATGAGCAGATTGATTATTAAATACAGATAAGAAGGTTTACCTGTGTAAAGACACCCCGAGGCTGCAATCAGGAGTGCGGATGAATGATACATAGGTAGCGCTATATAGTAGACATCTGATGGTGATACACCAACCTGTATGCTAGAGAATGCACCTCCTCCAATTGCTCTACCGTGAGTAACGATAGCCGGCTTTGGCATTCCTGGAGTGAAAGAAGGTATGGAAGAAGGCTAGAGCAATACCATGACATATGATGATGATGGTAATGCTGGTGGTGGTAGTGGTGAAGGTGGTGGTGGCTGTGGTGGTGGTGGTGGTGGTGGTGGTAATGATGGTGGTGGGGGTTGATGCTGGTGTTATTGATGGGATTGCTGGTGGTGGAAATGGTGGTGGTGGTGATGATGGTGTAAAAGCAGTTTTGGTGGTTTTGGTGGTAATGATGGTGGTGGGGGTTGATGCTGGTGTTGTTGATGGGATTGCTGGTGGTGGAATAGTGGTAGTGGTGGTGACGGTTGTGGTGCTTTTGGTGACGGTGGTGATGATGCTGATGGGGGTGGCGGTGCTGATAGTGATGGTGGTTTGGATTTGATGATGGTGTTGGTGGTGGTTGTGGTTTAATATAGGAGTGGTGGTGTCAGTAAAGTAGTGGTCGCAGTTGTGGTGTTTCTGTTGGTGGTGGTGGCCGTGGTGATGGAGGTGGCGGTGGTGATAGTGCTGCTGGTATTGGTTTGGGTGATGGTGATGGCGGTGGTTACGGAAATGGTGATGGTAGTGGTGAAAATGTGGATGAGGAGATTGCACGATATCATACTCCGTAGACAACTTATTCGAAATAATCTTCAAACAAAAATTCAATTTCTAAATTCAACCCGAACTCAGCACTATTCATTTCCCTCACGCTGTCTCTGAATCTAATTTTAAACTGGATCCCAGCTCTACATCTATTGCAGAAAGCCCTTTTCTTATATGACGTTTCATCCTATATTTTATATCGAATAGATCTATATAGTATTTTTCTACCATGGATTGGTAGCCCTACGGGTAATTTAATCATGGTGTACTTATTTCCTATGTCACTACCTTGATGCAGAAATGAATAGTTGGTGGTTTCATTATTTTCCGATCAAAGTCTACGTCGATAACAATGTTTAATTTGTCAGAGACTATGGGAAATTAGGCCTGGGGCACTTTTTCAGGGGGAAAATCTGATACAAGAATATGAATATGTAAGAGTTTGCAAACTGCTCTGAATATTATTATGTTGGAATCTCTTAGGCAGGCAAGAAGAACATAACGCATTCAATAAAAATTACATTATTGCAGAGGCGTTACATGGGTTCGCCATTGAGGGGGAACTGGGGACGGAAGAGGCTCATCAGTTTTACTAGCTGGAATATATAGAACGAGGTTATTGTGTGTTGGGAGGGGATGTGAAAAGGGTTTCTGTTTTTTTTTCTTCATGTTGCCTTCTCTTAATTCCTTTCTTTATCCTCATGTCTCTTCCCTTTCCTTTTTCCTATTCAACTGTGGGAGGGAGGTCAAAGATGAGGGACAGACCTATAAAAAAAGGTCTGATATCTATTCTTTGTCAAATCTAGGTCATTTAAACTGTACTTTGATTCCGGACTTTAATACAAACAAATACATTGATTTGATATCATGATTATCAAGTTATGCATAAATTGATTGGAACTTTGTCTCATTTTAGGTACAGCCACATGTTGCCCGCTACTCTTTTTTTTTGTACAAACCCGGGTACAAACAAGTATATAATAGGTTGTTCATTGTTGATGTTTGGAGTGTGGTAGTCGGGTGCTTTGGACTGCAGACTATGGCTGCAAGAATCGTGGGTTCGAACCAGGTTCGAACCTAAGCTCGGCACTTTGCCACAGTGCCACCATAGGAGAGGAATGGGGACCTGGTATACATGATGCTGAAAACCATTGAGTTTGAAATTGACATAAGCCCTGAAATTATATGACCTTACCATAGGAATATGTGTGTGTATTGTGTTTTTACAGACGTGTGTCAATCAGATATGATTATTTACGTCTGGGGGCCGACCTTTAAATGTCACCATCCGAAAGACGTGACTCAATTTCAAACCTGCGTCCTCGGCTGAATCAGTTTGTAACTTCCACTGTTAGCTGGATTACAGGCGCACGCCACAACGCCTAATATACTACTCAAGAACCGGAGATGGTGCACACATTGTCTGCTTGCATCGAATCGAATGTGTAAATTTGCAATGTTTCTTTGTTATATATTGTTTTGTAAAAATGCAAAAGAAAAATAAAATCAAACAGAAATAAATAAATCAAATCAAATCAAATCAAACAGGGGGAATGAATATCACATAAGAGCCGGGAGACATTAAGTTTTATTTAAATGTAGTTTACTATTATCGTTCAACAGAGGATAGCAGTAATATAAAAGACACTTTACTTGTTCGCATAATACTACGTTCCTATTGCGGCGCCACATTAAGTGTCTTTTATTCAATTTTGAATTGAATTTCAACGATGGCCTTGAAAAACCAGAAGTATATATATATAAAAAAAAAAAGGGACTCCGTTATAAGTCCCAGAAACATCGTACCTGTAGTTCCCGAGGTGAAGATATAAGCCCCTATATCACCAAGGCCTGTGATGGGCACGGTCGGAAATTGCTCTCCAGACACGGTAGATATCTCCATGGTAACCACATCATCGGGTGGTAGAAGACCAGGGATGCGAGCATCATTTATCATCCACAGGCCAATCCTGAGATCTCGCAGTGAAGCTTGGATGTCAAGGATCGCGTCTAGGAACTCTGTAGAACGTTTCGGGAAAGGAATAGGTTGAGTCGTTTGATATATTTTTCCTCTCTATTTAATATCTGGCCAGTGCTACTATCAAGTTTACAATCAGGTATCACAACTAAGATATCAGGAGACATGCTTTTTATAATCATGTTATAATCACATTTTCCTTGTTCTTCTTGGAGAATGTTTAGAATACATATCGTTTAGATGTATGAGAATAAGGTACAATGTCAAAGTTTAGACTATTTTAGCCGCATACCACACGTAAATGGTTAAAAGAAGAAGGTTTTAATTCATGCTGTCAATTTATTCAGACATGGACTTACATATTTAAATTATTCCTTTATAATATGGGGATGCGCTTTCCATACTACGTAGAGGTGTTGTAGTCGAGTGGTTTAATCAATTGACAGGGAATACAAAGGCCGTGGGTTGGAATCCCGTCGGTAGCGTACATTTTATTTACCGACTGTTCAGCCATTTTCGTGAATGTGATTAGATAAGCATGTGCGCGCTCGTACAAAGTCGACTTACTGCATGGATTCTTCAAGGAGTGGAGAATATAATATGTGCTCAATAAAGTAAATGAATCAAGTTACCGAAGTAATAACAAATACTGTAAGCGCTTTGGTCGGTTGTACCTGGTAAAGTGCTATTTCAACAAAGTAAATCATTATACTTACTTCCAAATACATAATACATGCATCGATAATGACATCATTATACCGAACCTATATGATTTCAGGATGTTATAATGAAGTAAGAATAATTATTACCTGAACCGAAGATGATATGTTTTGGCTGGCTGGCCTTAATACAATGCAGAAGAGCTGATCCTTTAAGGTTGTAATTGATCATACTTGCTATGATACCCTTCTTCTGCAAACCAAGCCAAGTCCAAACGATTGCAGGCCCATTGTGTAATAAAACACAAACAACATCTCCTTTCTTCAAAATGGGATCCGAACCGCTAACCCACCGAGCAGTGCGGTTCACGTTCCCCGCCACCTCTGCGTATGTGTACCTTTCATTCTCGTATAGAATACAAGGATGGTTGGGCCTTGCTCTGGCATGCTCCTCCAAAATATCAAGAATAAAGAGTTTAGATTTCTGACAGTTTTCCAATAATTTCCCAATCTTTACCAAACGAAGAAAAAATTGGACATCAGTCTTGAGGTTTGGATATTTCCATCGAAGCCAGGCGTAACCTGACGGGAGAGAAGCCCCAGCCATTAGAGCTGCTTTCTGACCGACACTCCATGAAGCAGGCATTTTAGCTGGTATTACTATTGAATTAAAAAAAACAATATGACTATTGAATAGCCGTGGCACGAAGAGCACTCACTGTTGCAACTGTATGTTACGAAATGAGTTCACTATCACCAAGGAGTTTTAAGAGCTGGAGTCATAATCTATGCTCATTCACTTTGTATCATATTCGGTGCCGCCAAATGCAGGAGAAAATATGTCAGACATTGTGCTTAACTGGATCTTCCGTGCAGATATGTAGACCAAAGCTTCCTGCCTAGCTGAAAACTAACGGGCCAATTTCAAAGTGAAATGTGCTTTGGTAATGATAATTGCTTTTCGCTACCACTCGTCTAATAATACGAGCAGTACACGGTACATGGAGCAAAGTTTCCTGAAATAGTAATGAAAATTATTCGACTGGGAATGTTTGGGCACGAATCTGGCATAATTCATAACGTCATAACGAACTGTACTTTAACAAATTCACTTTTTATTTTCGTGTGCCGGAAATAAAAGGAAAAGTGTCAAATTGCTGGTTTTAGGATTGTAAAATGTTGCTATTTTCCACAAATTAAAAATGCTATTTTACAATGTAATCAACTTTCTTGACACAATAAGGCTTTTCTATTCATATTTTAACATCTGTTCGATTTTTCACTTGTTAGTTTAAATAAAACGTGCAATATTAACGATATTTCTTTGTGAAAACAATCACTACACAAGCTTTCCAATGCTGTTGGCGGCATCGAACTAGCTAGGACATCAAAGGTAACAGCACACCTGTAGATTCTATTGTGCAACCTTAGAAAACGGCAACTGCTTGAAATAATGTGATGCCAGTTGGGACTCCAGCTCTTAAAATTCCTTGCTCTCATTTAATTTATGAAGAACCATCCATGTTCGCTATATCACATTTTGATAACAACGCAATATACAACTCCAGTACCACAAATAACACGTTATTATTCGAATAACTTCACGTGGATATTAAAGGTAGTCCCCATGCACACTTGCCTTTATTTGACAATTGACTTATTCTACTATGTTCACGAATAGCAACTTCCTGACTACTATCATTGCTAGCAAATATTTACGTGAAACTGTAGCGTATATATATATATATATATACATGTAGTCCAAACTATTGAGAGGTACAGTACAATGAGTTCACCATCATAATGCTGTTCATGTACTTCCTGTACGCAGGGTTTCAAGCTACCCACGTAGCTGCAATATATACCGCGTGAATCTAGCTCACATATCGTTGTATAAAATACAATGGGATATCATTGATCATAAAAGGTAACTCCCACATAATATCGTATTCGACAACTGTGTTCCACTTTTTACGAACCCACTTAACTTTATGGTAGGTAAACACATTTTGCCCTGTCACAATTCAAATCATTTTGGCTCACATCCAGGTTAGCTCTATCAACAATGAGTTCATGTTTTGTATCTCTTTCCCGCTCCCTCATCTCTCTCTCTCTCTCTCTCTTCCCCTCTCTATTTCTCTTTTTCTCTCCCCCCTTTCTCTCTCTCTCTCTCTCTTTCTCTCTGTCGAATTCGCAATGGTTTCACCAATTTGTCATTCTACAATATACCTGCTTCTCGGCAACTTCGTGATCTGCGAATAAAACTTCGACAATGTTTACTCTATCCATCACAGTTTATTTAATTTCTATGTACAAGAAAATCATCACATTGGTATTTTCCCCCAAAAATATGTGTTGACATAACAAAATATTCCCATGGGATCATAAGATACGTCTCCAGATTACATAAACACTATACCTAATAACCATATACAAAATGAACGATTACGATTTGATTTGTGGTAACTTGTTATTTATTTTTTCATGGGTTAAGGTGAGTGGTGAGGGCTATGACGAAATATCACTCCAAAGTGTCTACAGTCAATCAATAAGTACCTACTTACTTTAATCTAAAAAATTACCGTTACAATTTCGACGGAGGATTTTTGTTAGTTGAGTGCTTAGTGCTCGTAGTTATGCAACCAGGGAACTAAGTACATTTTAAGGGCTGTCACGTTACCCCATAGTTAATAGTATGTTCTTAGGGTTATTCTTAAGTACATTCTTTGGGTTCATCCGTGCTTGGTCCGGCATGAACCGTGTATGTTCCGGTGTGCTCTGGGGTGATCCGTGTCTAACACAACATGCCTATCGACCAGGGTCAACACGGTGCCACTACGGACCTCCCCGAAGCCAACACGGTCGCTACACGGACCGTCCAGGACTACCCGGACTACCCCGGATTGAAAAATATATAATATATATGCTTGTAGGGCTTTTTCATTGGACCAGTGTCAATGTTTCTCTCGGAGTTTTGGAGGGTTTGAATTTTCTTTTTCTTTTTAATTGAATGGTTTATTGAAAATACTGAAAATGGCAGTCCTAAGGCTGAATTACATTCAATTTACAATAAAAGCACATGAAACACATAACAAATTAAACAATTATTACATCACGCTTGTAATAATATATTCAAAGATAAAATTAATATGATATATTGATATGACAAAAACTATGTAGGGTCAACACTATTGTGAAGGTTAACACAAAGAGTTGTGATATCGTATCTCTCTTATAATACTGAAACATAATAATTAGAGAAATCTTCAGAGAAAAAAAAAAGCTTGTATTTTTTTCTCCAGCTGAGGATATTACATGAGGTCAGATTTACTACATGATATCCACAAAAATGGAACACATGACAATATTCAAAGGCAGGTTTGAACGTAGATATGAGGAAGAAGCATAACTGAAATCTATATCAATTGGAACAAAGTAACGTATAAAACGTCTTATATCTTGTATAGATTTCAAACATAGTGACGAGAGATTTATATTGAGAAAATTAGCAGGAAAAGTCGGGAAAACGCCTCAGTCTATTGTCAGAAATCCGTGAACTATATTGTTGATTATAAGACGATCAAGCGGATCCTAATCAATTGTTTGGTTGAAAGCGTACACGTGACCAGGCATTTATTTTGCCTAACGCGTGATTTGACTGATGACCGGTCATTAGTAAAATCATGTTATAAACATCATTTTATAAGACATCATCTTATAAAACAAATAATACAGATCATTTTGTTCGGGCATTAGTAAAGTTACCCACACTCGGTACCTTCGAAACAGTCCAAACACCCTCGGTTACACTGTTCCAAACGTACCTTGTGTGGGTAATACTTACTAATGCCTTCACTGCTGCGTATTATTTGTATATTATATACCTCTCTTTAGAAACCTAGCCATCTGATTGGTCGAAAATTGGAGTCGTGATTTTAGCCATTCCCGTAATGAAACGAACAATGCCAGTACCGGTTAATAGTTCAAGAGTGAGATTCCGGCAAGATTCCGGGTACCAGGAAACTAGTAAAATTTGGCTGCGATTCCCATTGATTTACGTGTTAAAACTGAATTTGTGCGAGTGCAGATACCATAGAGTGCTTTTTGTCTGCGCTTCCCAAATGATTGTATCATTCGGTCATGTCTCCAGCAAAGATTATCAGACAGTGTCTCAGATTTTCCGTGATGTTTTAACCAATCTTTACACAAGAAAAGGATAAGGTAAGAATTATTGGTAGATTTTTGTGTCAATTCGGTATATAAAAGAAATATCGACTCCTTTAATATTCGAGGCCTGGCTGTTGGCTCTCGGACACATTGCATCCTCCCATGAACCCGAGACACGACTGGGTCCCCTTGATCCTATAAAAGAGCGAGACCTCTCAAAGTAGTCGATATATATATAATATTGCATGAGTGTTTCACAACTTATAATGACCTGCTGTTAACATCTTGATATAATCATGATATGACTCGAGGTTGTAAACTTTTTTAAAAATTTAGATGACTTGTTGTTAACGTTTTCGTATGTTCATGATATGAATCGATATTGTAAATATTTTACAACTTAGAATGACCTGCTGTTAGCATCTTGATATGATCATGGTTTATTGGTTCATAGGTCTTTCTTGAAGGTTCAACGATGTAAACCTCTCCGTATCCATCTGGAGCAAAACCCCTCTTCACCAATTCAGTCTTCTTGTGCTTGAAGGTACCGGTTAGATCCATCTCGTCGAGAAGTCGGAGAAACTTTGGCCGAGCGTAGTCCGGGAGAGAAGAGATGACGTGCTGGTAGAGAGCTGAGAAATCTAAGATGGCTCCTTTATGTAAAACAATTGATGCCATCCCCGCCTTTCCATCATGACCTTGAAAGTGAAAGATTTCATCAAATGTTTTACGAGTTATTACAATAACTTACATGATCGTGCTTTCATTATTCAATGTCATGATTTATTTTTTACACCACATTACATCGTCAATAATCATTGATGAATATCTACACATTTGGAGGTCGTTAGAAAGGTGGCGGGGCAATTGACATGATGGCATTTCCATGCCAATTGTATCTTGACATATTTCCTTTGTTGACTGTCGAGAATCGAGGTTTAACTCTTGTCGTCCTAATGTTTGACGGCAAATTTGATATCTGAGGACTTTATTTCCCTGTTTACTTGAAAAATTATGCTCAGACTTGTCTGCGGGAAATTAGATCCTATTCATTTTATTAATCTAGTTCTGCTAAGGGATTACGTCCGAGACTTCGTGAAGTACATGTGTTACCTGGTACATGAATTCCATACACATTAGCTTCGAGTATTGCTGGAAATAAACCAAGAGCATGAGAAACTTCCATTGTGGAAACATTCTCTCCTTTCCATCTGTAGAATGAAAAAATGTAGTGATTATGATAATAATATTATTAATTCAATTCAATTCAATTCAATTCAAATTTATTGGTCCAAAAGGAAATTCGTTTCGTTTACATGCATTGTTCACATAGAAGAATAAATAAAATGTACATGTAACATGATACATACAACATACAACGAGTATATAGAGAGAATGAACATATAGCACTTTAACATTCACATTATATAGATATTTTCTTTGAATTTACATTATATTCAATATTTGTTTATGTAATAATAATCATAATGATAATATTAAGGCATGATAACAGTATTAATAATGATAACAATAATAATGATAAATATAATAATAATAATTAAAATAGTAATAATACAAAAGAAAACATAATAATGGTAAAGTTTATAATGATAATTATATTCCACATACAAATAATCTTGCGCTACGATTGGTCAAAAGTAAATAGCGTGATGAAAGATAGATCGCCTATCATTGATGGAAGAAAAAAAGGTTCATTGCACTGTGTAGTAGTACTATCTGCTCAGTGCAACGCACTTTCTTGTATACGTTGCGTATATGTACGTACGTACTGCACGCACTGTACGTATCGTACACCGTTTGCTAGCTGTTAATTGATACTTGCTCTAAAACGACGGAAGTAGTGAAATATTTCCGATGTGGAATATAAAGCAAATAATGACCTTTTGGTTTCAGGCGATGGCGATGGCACTTCCTCGGCGATCTGAATGTATACTCTATCTTTCCGAAGCGAAATACATCCAGATCGCCTCGGAAGTGATAGTTTGTCCCATCACCTCTAGCAACGGTAATTATTTGCTTACTATCAAACAATAACAAAGTGGATATGTCACCGAACTGTGGAACACATGCACTGTGAAAAGGTTGGGCAATATTTTCCAACACTTTGCCAGTAGTCAACCCAACCATCTATTGGGCAATATTTTCGTATTTTGCCCAACAGTTGGTCAAGATTTTCCCAACAAGTGGGCTACCGTATAGTCGGGCAGTTGAAGGGTCATATCTTTGCCCAAATTTTGGTCAAAATATGAAACAATTATGCACGTGTGAAGTAGCGTACTTACGTTTACCAATACCACTGGGCAAAATATTGCCCAATAGATCGTTGGGTTGACTATTGGCACAACGTTGGGCAAAGTGTTGAAAAAACATTGCCCAACCTTTTCACAGTGTGGTTTGCGGTTCGAGTCCCTCCGCGACACTAATAACCTTTGGCAATACATTTATCTACATTCGCCACTCTGTACCAATATGACCGAGGTGTAGTATTAAAATGGGTGCCTGGTAGGAATATAATCATTGAATGCCGTTTGCATCTCAGGGCAGCTGGGATAAAGACAGTGTAAAAACGACTACTTTGTAGGCGACTTGAGCATCCCTTGGGGTGGGTACGTGCGCAATATAGATAGCTATCATTATTAATGATTATTAAAGGTTATGTCTTTGTTACAGTGAGCGTGATAAGAAAAGGACAGGATCGGTGCAGATTGGTTTTTGTATCAATCCTGAGCGTTCTGACATAATATATTGATTATGTCAGAACGCTCAGGATTGATACAAAAAATGAGAAACTGCCCCCCCCCCCCCGGTCACAGAGCGTTCATTTGTTAGGGGGGGGGAGGCAGTATCTCATTTTCAAATACAAGTTCATCCACCACAGTGGGAACATTGCATTATCAAATATTGATAGACTACATTTATGAAGACTGACTAATGATTAGTTTTATTTGGCTACAGTTAGATGGAGACTGGGAAATAAGACTACTACGACGTTGGAGGCCGCAAGGGTAGGTTGATGAGGAGGAGGAGGAGGAGGAGGAAGGCGAGGAGGGAAATGGTGGTGTTGTGGTGGTGATGCTGATGACGATCATGATGATCATGATGATGGTGATGATCATGATGGTAGTGATGGTGATCATGATGGTGATGATGGTAGTGGTGGTGATGCTCGTAGTGGTGGTGGTGATGGTGACGATGATGATGATGATGATGATGATGATAATGATGATGATGATGATGATGATATTGATGACGATGATGATAATGACAGTGCTGGTAGTAGGAGGTTGGTAGTAGTGTTGGTGATAACGATGATGATGATGATGATGACGATGTTGATGATGATGACTACGGCGGTGGTGGTGGTTGTGATAACGACGACAACAAATCTTACAAACCTGAATGTATCTCCGAGACGGTCAATGAAGTAAACGTATTCATCGACATCGATCTTCATGAGATCACCGGTATTGAAATATGCATCTCCTTTCGTCTTCACATCCCTTACAATCTTCTTCTGTGTCATCTCTTCTGGTCCACGGTATCCAACAAAAGCTGCTCGCTCCGTGATCTGAAGCAACATCAAACCTGTCGAGCCTGGGTGGAAACGAAACAATATGTGTGACCAGCCTATTGCAACTTTCCAAGCAAGGTTAACAAAATAAACAAGAGAAGTCAGATAAATAAAAATATGGACAATGGACAGACAAGGAAAATAGTGTTATAGAACTGATCCTGTAGATGGAAATAGATTTTTTTTTTTAAAGTGATACAGGGATAGATTTTAGACAATAGAAAGACGGAGGAGCGGAAAAGATAAACAGATAGAAAGATAGATAGATAGATAGATAGAAAGAAAGATTGATAGATAAATAGATACACTGTCGCTCCTAAAGTTGGAATATTTTAGGTCCCCTAGTTGATAAGCATAGTAGCATTAGCAGTCACGCAAAACACACATTGTCAAATTATTATTCAATAAAATCTGACAATGTATACTATTATCTAGATCTATTATTTTTAAATTACGTTTTAAATAATTCCATAAATTGGGGTAAAACAAAAATAGTCCAACTTTAAGAGCGACAGTGTAGATAGATAGATAGATAGAAATATAATGAGAGGATGATAAATAGATTGACTGCAGAAAGATGAATGGATAAGATGAATGGATGAACAAGAAGTAGGTTTAGATGGATTGATATTGACAGTTAAAGAGAAAAGGAGATTTTTGCCGTGTTGAAAATTTCATGGCGACGTATTTGCCGCGTTGGCGGAAATAGGAAATTTGACGAAATATATATAAGGAATAACAGGTTGTGGAATTACTGTGGCATATTGGTGAAGAGTTTGGGCTCTCGTACGAAACGTCCTGAGTTCGATCATTACGGGGTGTTTACTCTGTGACGTATCTTGCGAGCTCCTTTTCCCATTTGCCCTGTACTAAAATTAACTTCAAAAACTTATATTGTCCCTTAGGAAATTGTTCAATCATACATTCACCCTAAATATAGTTATTGCAAATTGTTTTATGAAGTCCCTGTATGTAACAAATCTATTCCCTAATTAATAACTAAGAGAATGACAGTTAATGAAAAGTTTTGTTCAGAGCAAATTGGAGAGGAGTTCGCAAAAATGTTACGGTCTTGCCAACATGTGTTTCAATGATGACAACTTCAACATTTCATAACTTTCATATTTTTAATCGAATATAGCTCAAACTTTCAATTCCCTCATTTTTCTGCTTTCATCAAAACAAACTCAATATGAGGATGGCGTCCCCTTTGAATTCATGAATAGGTCTTTGTAAAATGTTTTGTCCGGGGATAAAGTTAAAAGAATTCATTCAGTGTAGGGTATTGACCGGTGAGCGATTGTGGCCGAAGTACTTGCTGTGCTAAAATCTTACCACGAGGTATCTGGATACATAGACCATCTCGACCACGCTTTGGTTCTCCAGTCTCGTAGTCATAATCCACGATCTCCACGTTGGCCAGGTTCCTCTGTCATGTGACAAAAGGTTTTAAAGACTTTTAAAAGCAAAGTTTTTCTTGAATATTGAATTGTTATTTCATCTCATATTCCACATACTAAGAATCTTGCTTTACGATTGGTCAAAAGTAAATCACGTGATGAAAGATAGTTCGCCCATTATTGATGGGAGAAGCACAAAGTTCGTTACACTGTGTAGATAGTACTACTATCTACACAGTGCAACGCACTTTCATTGAAGATAGAGGTACTATCTACACAGGGCAACGCACTTTCACTGAAGATTATCCAAAAGCGCACTAAAACAGGTGTAATTAAGCGCGCATTACCAATGAGCGCAATTAAAGCAAACACATGCGCGCACCGTACCTTAAAAAAACACATAAATATTCCCCATTTTATAATCAGAACGCATTATATGGACACACTGTATACGAAAGTACGTACCTTAAAAAGCCATGAATATCTGCCGACGCTTCCCAGGTGATTGTCCGTATTGATGAAAGCGAAGTTGCCTTCGGTGGCGCCGTAGAACTCGTATATGGGATCGATGTTGAACCTCGTCTTGAACTCCTCCCAGATGTCGAGTCGCAGGCCGTTACCTATTGCCCTCAGAGGACGAGGGTAGTCACCGTCGTTCTCTTTCTTTAGGCACAAACATAAAATGTTGCAGAAAGTTTCACTTCAGTCGACCATTTCCGTGATATTATACCATCATAACTACACAGTAATTCATGATCTGGCGTTAGCTTGAATAATACATCGGGGAAGTTCTAGGGCAGATGGATAGTTGCCTATCACCATATCACCACTAATAATGGAGTGGGGCAGGGCGTAGTCCTCATAATTATAAACAAGAGATTTTATTTATCTTTTTCCAATTGAAGCGTTTAACCCCTTGCATACATTTTATTAATACGATAAGATCTAACTACAAACACCAAAAAGGAATATAAGGGCTACTTATAATATTGTACAGGCCATCTAATTATTGTTAGATTTATTGTATTTGTTTCAGATCTATTTCGACAATTTTTACAAGATGTGATTCGGCCAAAGACCAAAATTAATTCTCCCACCCTTTCTCTTTCACTGTGTCTGTCTGTTTGTCTCTCTGTCTCTCTCTCTCTGTCTCTCTGTCTCTCTGTCTCTCTCTCCCTCTCTCTCTCTCTCTCTCTCTCTCTCTCTCACTCTTCTTCTCTCCCCTCTCTCTCTCTCTCTCTCTCTCTCTGTTTCTCTCTCCCATCCTACCTTAGGTTGGGCCAGTAGGTATCTGCATATCTCTCCGATATACTGGAAGATGGTCGCCCGAAATCTCCTGACGTCATCCCAAAAATGCGACGCTGAAAACTTCTTTGCTATGGCCATGGTTGCTCCTGTTAGCATTCAATTGAAGAAAAAAAAAAATTACTCCGGTCCAGAGTTTATACCTCGATCAAACCCAACCAAGTTACACCAGCCCGACACCTGGCTGACTCCGGACCGACACCGGACCAAATGCAGACCGAACCAAAATGACATGATACCTCCAATGGCAAACATTTTGTCGGGCTGGTGTCAGTGATTGAGATGTAATACTGTCACACTGATTCCGAACCGATTCTTGGCGATTCGGTGTAAATTACTTTTGATTCAGTTTTTGGCGGTCTGGCGACTTTGCTGTGAATGAGGTATTTTAAAATGGCCTCCATAGTTAAACGCTTACATTTTAAATGCTTACAGTAATACCCCTGCCGCTCATTTGTTGTATAGTGCAGTGGGTATTTCCACAACGGCATACTATAGATTTAGGGTGGCTTTTTCCACTTCCACCATCAGTTTTTGAAAGCCCGTCACATGGGTCTACTAATATCATGATTAACCACTGCATACATTCATGTCGACGTTAACACCTTCAAGATTATAAATTGATGTATCTTAACAAGGAAACATAATGACTAAATACCGATTTTAAAAGTTTTGAAGGATATGTACAAAAGTTGATGGTACCTTTTAGGTCATCGGGGGCCCATCAATGATTAACTGAAACATGTGACCCGGGGGAGGGGAGGGGCACAAGTAGGAATTTGATTCTCTTGATTTTCCCCCAGGATTATGACTTCGTTAATATGGTTCTCCAAGGGTCCACAGGGACCGGCACTTCCCGAAATATTTTTACGACATTTAGCAATGACACGACATTTTCCGATTCTATTATAAAGTGGAAACTACAGCATTGATTGTGGCCAGTTCGCTTGAATAATATGGTAAATATATACAATTAAAACAAACGTTTTTTCTAACCGAAGTATAGGGACCCTGAGACGCTCATGAGGAGTGCTGCTGAATGGTAGATAGGTAGAGGTATATAGTAGACATCGTCTGCTGATAGGCCCGTATTCTGGTGATAGAAGAGAGCCCCTCCCAAAGGCTTGGAATGAGGGATGATAGCCGGCTTAGGCATTCCTGAGGAGAGAAGAGGGGAGGAAAGTGAGAAAAAATGTCAACATTATAGCTTTTCCTTGTTTTTGTTGTCATGGAGATGATGCTATTAAATGACGAATATCAGCCAAGATGTGATTTTTTTTGGACGGCATTTTAGGGTAATGCATGGCATCCATTCTAAAACTCTTGCTAAAATACCAAATGAAAAGATAGGGGTGGATGCGACGCGCACTTTTATTTAAAATGATTAAATGTCTCTTTTTCCGTCCGTTGAAACACTTTTTCTTGACCTTTGTGTAGTAACATGTACCCCATTTTTACCATAACGGCGAAAGACTGTAACAAATGAACGATCTTATTCATTCTTTTATTATAAGGTTGTGCTAAAAACCCCATCAGGAAAGGTGGTTTCATCTAAAGGATTCTAATTGGCCGCAATTCGACGTCACATATCTTTAAAATCGGTTTTTAACTTTCTGTATTACAAATACATGACATTTTCTAAATTGTAATGTTCCTGATCCGATTCCATGGTAATAATCTTAGTGGTTACACAGACGGTACCCATCACCCACTTTACGACAAACAAGTACATTCTGAAAGTTAAAGGTCTTAACTAACAAAGAAACTTCATTAAAGATTGTGTCTAAGGGGTGGGGCCATTCTAGTTTTTGGCCCATGGACTAACATTGCTAATACCTGTGAGAACTACCATAATGTATTCATGTAGACTGCAGTGTTTTCCACTGCGCATCATGTAAAGAGACATCAATTCATTCGGAATAACATAAAATGACTTATCCATCACATCTGACCATTTCTTTTCGGCATGGCAACATTATGTTTAATCAAGAAACAGTGTCTCGATGAAAAGAGTTATGGTGTGGAAAAAACTTTGAAATATAGATATAGCCTGACATAAGTATGTAATTAATATCAAGCCCAAATACATTTTTAAAGTTTTGAGCCATTCAGTATATCGGAGGGTTGTGTAAATATCTATTACCCCAACCTAAGGTATTATATGATGCGAGAAAGAAAAAAATAGGCAAGACAGACAGAATGGAGAGTGGAGATAGGAAACAGAGAGAGAGAGAGAGAGGGGGGTGAGGGGTTAGATTGAGAGAGGTGAGAAGAGAGAGAGAGAGAGAGAGAGAGAGAGAGAGAGAGAGAGAGAGAAGAATGTTATTGCCATCACAATTTTTCGGCACAATTGTTTTAACCCCAGCTTCTCATCACGAAGCCGGCCTACATCGCCGAAAGAAATTAATTTTTTTATTTTGACATTTACCTGTTGTTCCCGACGTGAAGATATAAGACCCTGTATCACCAAGACCTGTGGTTGGAGCGGAAGGAAAGTGTTCTCCAGACATGGTAGATATCTCCATGGTAACCGCATCATCGGGTGGTAGAAGACCAGGGATGCGAGCATCATTTATCATCCACAGACCAATCTTGAGATCTCGCAGTGAAGCTTGGATTTCAAGGATCGCGTCTATGAACTCTGTTTAAATAGAAAAGGAGTAGATTCAATTGTTACTATAGTCTAGAGACATTAAGCTTCGTCGACCTTGTACAATTGCAAACTAACAATACCTGTAAGTTAGTCAACTAATTGTGTTTATTAGAAAGTGCTACTCATGAAATTGTCTTCAATCATTGGATTGGACGTAACGTAGACCTTATTTAAATAATATAATTTGTGCAATGACTATGTCAAACGACTTAAACAATTGAAAAACATTATAAACAGAATAGTTAAACACTTCTATAAGGATTATATAAAACTTCAGATATTGATAACAATGTTGTAACACAAACACGTTTTATCACTTTAGAGTGATTTTATGACGTCAACATAGTACTGGTAGTGTTAAAGTATATATACCTGAACCGAAGATGATATGTTTTGGCTGGCTGGCCTTAATACAATGCAGCAGAGCTGATCCTTTAAGGTTGTAATTGATCATACTTGCTATGATACCCTTCTTCTGCAAACCAAGCCAAGTCCAAACGATTGCAGGCCCGTTGTGTAATAAAACACAAACAACATCTCCTTTCTTCAAACTGGGATCCGAACCGATAACCCACCGAGCAGTGCGGTTCACATTCCCCGCCACCTCTCCGTATGTGTACCTTTCATTCTCGTATAGAATACAGGGATGGTTAGGCTTTACTCTGGCATGCTCCTCGAAAATATCAAGAATAAAGAGTTTAGAAATCTGCATATGTTCCATAGTTTTGAAGTAGGCTTTTGCTTTGAGGTAGAAATTGATATCAGTCCAAAGCTTAGGGTACTTCCATCGAAGCAAGGCATATCCTGGCGGGATAGAAGCCCCTGCTAGCAGAGCAGCTTTCTGGCTGATATTCCAGGAAGAAGACATTCTAGCTATCAACAGTACAGTTGTGAGAAGCTATATCAATCGCTTTGCGAAACAGATGTCCTGTATTTCTTGTAAAGCATGCCAACGGTTGTGAAAAGGAGTATTTCAAACGCATACATTAAGCGATGCAGATTTGTTTCCAATGCAAGACAATTGAGAAAAGGAGACGTATACATGAAGTAGAGTTTGACAAATTGAACTGTAACACCCCATATACGTCAACATTGACGAGAAATGCAAACATGGACTCTATTCGCTATAAATGTGAAATTCACTGGACGTGACCCAAAAAATTGTGCATAACGAATGCATGCACAAAGTGTTTGACCTTTGCCACTGAAAAGAGTCGGAGAGTTCAGCCCCTGGAAATATATCCGCACTTCTGCAATCCGATTATGCTTGTTTCTTCAATTCAGTTTATGACGGTTTATTGCAGCACATAGAAGTTGATTTCATGAATTAAAGGAACCATGTATTGTATACTGAGTTGACTTTACTATTGCTGCATTCATTATTCTTATATCAGAGTATCATCATAAGACATGCATGATAATATACGGGTGTCTTTTGAGTGACACCTTGAACTCGATCGTTGGACATCATAAACCTGTTATAACTTTATATGATAAATTACGTGGAGGGGGTGGGTGGCCGGGTTTGAAGGTGTTAATAATGACATTCTGCAAGCTAATAATTGTTAGACCCCATTTCTTGAAAAGGGTAGACTCTAATGTCGATAATAATTGATATTCCGCATGACGGCGCAATTATAAAATTATATAAGCCGGGCCGTTGAATTAACCCAGTATTCTCCAATACGAGACTGTCGTTTCATCCATAAAACATTCAGATTTTTTTGTTTAAACAGTGAGCAGAATATCGGGGGGGGGGGGGAGGCAATAATCTTCCTATGGGATATAGATTTTTTTTTTTCTTCAATTGTATTTATCTGGGATTTCTAACGATTAAGGGTGTATACCATGCAGCCTCATGCACCCTCCATCTATCATATATGCATTTTGTGTAAATGTACGTATGCTCTAGCTCTCTCCCCGGAATGACCGATATTACGATTTGGTACTCGTTTAATGCTAATAAAGATAAGAATTATTTGCTCCAAGCCAAGCTAAGTTGTATTTCAAAGTACAAAGTTCGATATTATACTCAGGTATATGTATGAAAACCTCATATTCTTTGGAACGCAAAAGCCTGGGCGGAAATCCGATGGGATTAGGGGGGGGGGGGCAGGGCACTCTTCCCATTATTTAGACGGGGAGGCATTATATTTAATCTCCCCCCCCCCACGATTTCTGGTCTTTCAATATGGCTAAAAATATTACCAAAACCTGTCAAAAATGCATGTACAAGTCATGTAAATTAGTACGAATGGGTGTGTTATGTTATTTTAACAGACACGGAGTTTATCAAATCCGTTTAATTAACGAATGGGTAGGTTCTGGTGTTCTTGGTAACCAAAGATAAATGGGCAAATCCTTTACGAGTTAAATTTGCTCCTCCACCCCACAATTTGTTTGGTTTTTTTTTCTCTCGGGACTAGATATTCCCAGGGAAAAACTAATGTCAAGAAGGAAAAAAGTGCTTGTGACCCCTCCCCTCCCTTATCCAATCAAGAACCGTCCTCTATATGGTTCCTTCCATGGGGTTGGGTCAAATGTTGTGACATACCAGAAGTGAGAAACTATGTCTCCTTTCAACTGAAACAATGTATGCTAAAATTGGGTTCAGCATAAAAAGCAAAAGCATAGCCAACTAAGTTTACAAGTACTCAAGCTTCACGGTGAATCAATATTATAGACCCAATTAAAGTTTATTTAATGTTATATGAATATTTTTATGATGTCTATGTAACGCTGGTAAACAGAGAAATGTGTAAGCAAAGATTTTGAAGAGAAGCAAGTGAAACAGGAATGATTCTGGCAGGGCACTGCTATATACATTCATTGAAAAAAAAAATCTTCAACAGATATTTCATCTTCCATGTGTGTAGTAGAAGATTTCATACCAACTTTACATGGACATTGTCATATTTATTGCCCAAACCACTTAGAATGCCCCATATCACATAATGATATAATAGTCCAGGGGGGTGTTTCACAAAGATCCTAAGTTGAACTTAACACTAAGTTGGACTTAAAAATTATGGAAAGCCATTAGCATCTTTGAAAATATTTTGTAAAAGTTATTTTGAAAGGCATTAATTGTTTATTCAAATCATTCTTATTGTCTATCATCAAGGAGATTTCATGTTCTGGATGTGGAATTTATAACAAGTCTAAAATACTTGAATTTCTGCTTTTGAATATATTTCATTTAAAGACTCCAATGGCTGTCCATAATTTTTAAGTCCAACTTAGAGTTAAGTTCTACTTAGGATCTTTGTGAAACACCCCCCTGGTTGATCATTGCAATAAATAGATCACAGCTATGTCCGCACCAACAAAATCCTGAGAACAAAGTGAAACAAAATTATGAGTACTAAGTGAAACAAAATTTGGGTTTCTGAATCGAATGAAGATTTTCAAATCTTCCATCTTTAATAAATCTTGGTGCAAAATTTACAAGATAAAGTATGTCATTCAAACAATCTGTACATTTGCCATTATTTTTGTTGAGATATGTACAAATTCAAAATTATAAAGCTAACTACATGTAATACCAATATATGTCTATACAATTGTAAATGACATTTTTCATCAAAATTGATCTCATTGCAAATGTAAATGTGACCTTAACATTGTGGAGGGAAAAAAAAGCCCAATTCGCTTATGCATGCATGGGAAATACATCATATTATTACTCACATGGTATATTATATATTTGGGTGAAAATTCATTTGACATTTGATGAGAAACAAGTAAAGAAACAATTAATAATATATTTTGAATTATGCATACATGAGCACAAGTTGCTCTAAATTACAATATGCTAAAAATGTAATGATTTTGCTGCTATGACTTTTACATATCCTACATTACATCTCTGAAAAACTTAATGCTATTATTTTGTGGAACAAAAATAAAACAAAAATAAAACAATTTAAATTAGGAAATACTGATTAAAAAACGAACAAAAAATATAATCATAAACAAAAGAATTATGACCATTTTAATCTTTAGGGTTAATGAACCCAAATGAATTTCAATCCTAAATGTAAAGGAGCAAATAAGAGTTGCACATTATGATGATCATAACATTGTTATGAATAAAGTAAACACATTCTGAAATATACAACTTTTATAATAAGGAATGTATTTTGAATTATAAACTTTAAATCTTAAATTATGTCATACCACCAAACTGCCCATCATAATCACAATATGATCAAATATCTCAGAACAAAATAATGATAATAATACTGATTTGTTCTTGTATAGTGCATAACGCAATATGATATAACGTCCCTACGCCATTCCAACATGTGCTTTGGGAATCATTACCCTAGCTTTAATTCCTGCAGCCGTTATCAGCGTACAGTGCATTTCAAGGAATAATCCCACCAGGTACCCATTTACCTCACCTGAGTCGAGTGTGGCAAATGTAGATTAATGTCTTGCCAAAGGATGATGGTGTTGTGGTAGGGATTTGAATCCCATACCTTGTAAATCAGTCCGGAGACGTATCCACTGGATCACAACACCTCTACAAATAATTAATGAATTTGATATTCTGATTGCCTATGATCATTCAAGGGTTTCTCCTGCGTTGGCCTAGGTTCGGATTCATGAAGGCAGATAAAAACGCTCTTTCAGATAAGGAGTGGTATACCGCACAGTTTTTATTATAAAGTATAAATGAATGGCAACTAGGCACGACAAAAGTCCTGCGCATATTCACTTAGTTCTGTATTACACGATACAGAAATGTGAAGCGTATTAGCCTTACATCAAAATTTAAACAAAAACAGCACGGTTTACCACTTCAAATTTGAACAAGGCTTTATTTAAACCTGGGGAGTGTTTCACAAAGACTAAGATCGAGTTTAAGTTGGACTTAACTAAGGCAGGCCATTAATGCCACTGGTTGCTCTCACCGCTATGATCTTTAGATGATATTGTTTCCTTCAATAATGAATTATCAACAAATGTACATTCTGAAGATTTGTGACCATGATTTGTTCATCCCTTGAGAGACCAATGCCATTAAATGGTGAGAGCAAACAGTGGCATGAACGGCCTGCCTTGGTTAGTCCAACTTAAAGTCGTTCTTAGTCTTTGTGAAACACTCCCCTGGTTTTAAAGTAGTTATATCGTATATAAGCATCAAGTCTCAGGCTTTCTATATTGCTAAAATTATGTTAATCACATACAAACATGAATAAATAAATGAATCCATCCATGAAATGAAAATGAGAAATTTATGTAATGTTAATAGAACTTTCATTTGTACATTTAGATACAAAAATATGGTAACCTTTACGGCATGAGGTTGGCACGGAGTGCTCTAAAAATCAGTACTCTACCCGATCATATCTGGACGACACTCAATGCTTTTTTCTGAATACTGTTTGAAAATTCAACATCCAATGTTGAATAAGAGAGCTTTCTTTAGCTAATGTTACTACCGGTACCACATACCACGTAATTCAATTTTATCAAAAGCACCTTGATAGACTTGCTGGCTTCTCCATATATTGTTTGGCCGTTAATAGAATGGCTGACATCAATTCTAGACACCTGAACCACATAAAATCCTGTACATATCACACACAATAATTTTCAATATACACTATATAATTATACACTTTGTCCATAGTCGTGAATCAATGCTTCAAATTTCAGCATTCAAAACTACATGCATAAGTGACCAGTATAAATGACATTCTGACAAAACGGGGAAAACTGCCCCAAAAACTACCCCAGCATAACAAAATAATTTCATGTCTAAATGAATTGCATATGGAGATGAAAAAAGAAGAAGTAGACTGCATGAACATCTGTTGAATTTGCTGCAACATTTTTTTTAAAGCGGTTTACTGAGTCATATGTCAGCAAGGCTGAAGCATGCAAGAAACAAAAATGGGGCTTAGGAAATCATTAGATTATGATATAGACAGGCATCTTAAAATAATTGCTTAATCACCTTTCTTAAAATTGATTATTGTCACATAATTCATAAAAAAAGGAATTGGAAGCTCCTTAGATGTGAAATGGAATGATACACTCTTCACCTCTGATACTTCCAACTGTGATAGTGGATCAGAGAATAGTAATAACATATCTAACGAATAATTCTCAGTATTCGCAATAGAGTGCAACACCTATCGAGTGCAATTGACATTCCAAAATCCAAACTGCATCATGGGAAATAGTTGACGTTATGAAGCTGATAATGGGAAATCCCAAGTACTCCATGTGGCTAGCTAAATAATATAACTATACATGACATATATCTTCTAGCTATATTTAGACAATTTTCGTTAAATGCTCCCTTCCCTTTTGCTGTTTTTCTTTTACTTAGGAATCTCAAAATACTACTCCCTCACTTCCATACTAAACAAAAATTGGAGAATATCCTGTGGATTGAAAACATACAGTTGTTGAAATGGTCACACAACATGCTGCCGCAGATTTCATATCAATTTTGGAAGTTGGAAATCTGTGGCATCAGATGGGTGGAGCATCGTATTGTGAATTCTAGCTCTTACATCTCGTCTTAGTCCTTAAACCTGTATGGCACTTATGCCAATTGTATTCTAATCAGGTCAATATGGTGCTTGCTGCTTTAATGGGCAAGTGCATAATAGAAAAATATGGTCAACATTATGTCCAATTGAAACAAAGTTGATTGAAATTTGTGTATGGATGGCTCTGTGCATGGCTAGTTGATTCAGTGGAAGTCTTTCCTAATTGGTCATTCATTAGGTCATTCAGCTTCAAATAGTTGTCTTCTACGGATATTTAACCTATCATCGTGCGCACGTAGGTGTACATGTCCCATGTGCGATGGAGGCTATCTCTCCCAGCATGCTACAGCTCTGTGCAAAGAGCGCCCTCTATAGCTTTGATTGTCCAGCCATGATGACACTCAGATGCCTGCTTGTGAGAGGTACATAGGCCTTCTGCGAGGGCTCGATGATGAAGACTTCCTCTGGGATGCTATGGATATCAAAGCCCTCCTTGACAAGATCCGTCTTCTTATGCTTGAAGGTACCGGTCACCTCTATCTCGGCCATCAGACGCAGAAACTTGGGGCAGGCGTAGTCGGGAAGGAGAGAGGAGACGTGAGAGTATACATCCCCAAGGTCCAGTCTGGTGCCCTCGTTTGGCACGATGGCTGCCATTCCAGCCCGCCCATCTTGACCTGTAAAGAAGGATTTGATTATGGGGTTTAAAATTATCATTAGGTTAGTTTAAATATTGTATTGAGTTCTTGAGATGTAATCACAGAATGTGGAGCAACAGGGTATGAAACGACGAAACGGATGGCTCAAGAACTGACAGATCACTATTGATGATGATAATAATGATTGAGTTCTTATTAGCACCAACCATGAAATAACCTATGAAGAATTCAAATGTGATATTCTGTGATGTACAGTAACATTTAGAAGTCTTATTATTTGAAGCCATCTATACACAATGCTTTTAACAATATACTTTCAAAATCCATACATTAGAGACCCTGTCGTAAGTGGAAAATGAAATAGATGAATTACATATTGACCGTAAACGTTATAAGCCATGAATTACAATATAATCAATTATATGCTATTTTTGTGTCTGTCAGAGGAGAGCTCTCTGAAACCTTGAAATCTAAAGCTTTGAAAATCAAAAGTTGTCGAACTAAAAAACTAGCTATCGACTTGATGACATCATCTTATGTGGAGTATGCATAATCACAATGAATTTGCATTAATTAAGCATGGCTTCAATTAAGCCTCAGCTATATAGGCATGCCGATCAGGTCCACATGTTATGTCGTCATCCTAACCGCAGCAAATTTGACCCGATGACCTGTAACTTGGAAGGGTGCAGAAATGAGGTTTTAATTGCTTTTGTGCAATACTGAAAGGGAAAATATTTGTCAATCTTTTCTATTTCTATTGTATGCTCATTCAGCTTTCCATTAATATAAAGTTGTATTTTCATTGGATAGACATGCAGATGATAATGACAATGACATCCTTGGATACCAATCAATAAGCTCATCAAGTCAATATCAGAGTACTACATCTGTTAGCATCATTAAAATAGAAAATTTAGCCATTTTAGACCTAAGAAAAACAAAGGTTGGAATGTTTTATATGGTCTTACCTGGTACATTCACACCATACACATTAGCTTCCATAATACCAGGGTGAGAACTCAACGCTTGGGCAACTTCCACGGTTGATACATTCTCACCTTTCCATCTGGTGGGAAAAGAGAGAGATTTATTAACACTCATACGAAGCAACAAACATACAGCTCTATCTTTCAACACTTCGATTGCTTACTTTGCCTCTCTGCATGGTCACTCGTTTGCCACTATTTGAGCTCCTGCATGGGAGTAGTGTCCTTTAGCAAGACATTAATCTACATTTGTGGCTCTGACCTGACACTCTAGCTGCAAAACATCATACAAAAGAAGAAGAATTCACTTTTGCTACTCTCCAAAATTCTTCTAACTAGCCAATGGCTCAACAACAAGAGGCCATAATAATGCTGCATTATTGTAGAGCGCTTAGAGACTTCTGACAAAGTAAGTGTTAGGCCCTATATAAGCAAGGATAATTATTATTATTATTATTATTAATTTCAAGATAGTCAAACAACGTTTCAATACAAGACTTAGGCAGTATAGTTTCTCAATAAGGAGTGTAATTAACATTTGGAATGCCTTGCATAAGGAAGTAGTCAATCCTGCCACCATTAACCAATTCAAGTCATCCCTAGAAAGGTATCGGAGAAACAATCCAATTAAGTTTGAACCATACTTGGAAGGGATGAAACAGTAAAGAGGGAAAAATAAGCTAAGCTTCCAGTATCTACACCCAGGTATACCCAAGTTATGCGATGGTCACAACCCGCCGTACTTGCAAGTGCGTGCTGTCTACGTGCAAAACGTGGGGATAATTTGGATATCCGTACGTGGTGAGTACCACCTCCGTAAGGATTTGGGAGCACGCAGACACACCATAGCACTTTTAGTGCAAGAGGAAATTTTGCTGCGTTCGGGCTGCGGTCAGGCTACCTATTCACCCCCAGTGTGTGTGACGTGCATTGTCTATACTCCCTCCCTGTCTTTGCCACTCCCTCCCTACGTTTTCAGAAAAACATGGCGGCCGTGGCCTCCCCAAAAACCGTACGGACTAAAACACGCACGATGGGTTGTGACCAACGCTTAAGTAAGAATTCACTTTTGCCACTCTCAATCCAGGTGTCAAATGGGTACCTGTTGAAAGGAACTCCTTGAATGCTGAAGCACTGAAATCGGTATCCTAGTTATAGCCAGGTAATACCAGAGCACCTTGAACATTTTGTGTGGTGGATATGTGTGCTAAAAAATTAACCAATATTATACCTTTACGCACTAAAAGAGTAAGAGCGCATTTTAATCAGACCTGCCAACCTCTGGAAGTCAAAAACTGTATTCTTTAATCCCAAAAGTTGTATTTTACTGACAAAAAATTGTATTCTAAAAAAATCCAATGTCTCTTACAGTTCCTACATACAGGAAGAAATTTTGTATGGATCATTGGTTAAATACCGGTATGCATGAATTTGTCATGACTGGTGTGTCCGATGAACCAATGAACATCCCCAAATTGCTGATGCGAGATGCTTGTAGGATACTTTACAGTTATTTTTATTTTTTTGAAAATCATATTTTATTGAGGAAAAATCGTACTGTCGTATTAACTTCTGAAAATCATACGAAATACGATTAAATTGAATGGTTGGTAGCTCTGTTAAATACATGTAGCTCTTCCAGTCAGCATGATTTACCTGAAAGTATCTCCAATCCTGTCCATGAAGTAGATATAATCTTCATCATCCATCTTCAGAAGGTCACCAGTGTTAAAGTATGCATCTCCTTTGGTCTTCACGTTCCTAACTATCTTCCTCTCACTCTTCTCCTTGGGACCTTTGTAACCGGTGTAAGGATTCTTATCATCAATCTTAAAGAGGGCAAGACCCGTCTGACCTGTACATAAGAAACAGAATGAATAGGAATATATCTTACATTACAAAGTTAAAACTATATCACCCTCATTTGTCTCACTGCCTCATAAATTTGGAAACAGGTTAATTATGAGTAACAAGATGCCCAAATATCCTGATATTCGAGCATCAAGGTGATTGAATAAATCAATTTGTATTCACGTATTCAGCAGGAAGATGCCCACATGTATAATTCTCTTCTCCTCTTTCTTCTTCTCATTTGGTCTTATCCTACATGTAGCTTTAAAATTAAAGGTATTACAAAGTTTTGGTAAAAATATTTAATTCATCTGAAACTCTTTGATGTTATAACAAGATGCAATAGGAATATCTTTAACCAATCTCCACCGCTGAAATACTTTTTTTTTTTTTTAGTGAATTAAACAGTAATTAATAAATCAATTATTAGTTCCAAGCTGCCTGTATTTAAACCGGCTCATGATGTTGTATACTAGCGCCATCTACTGTTGTAAATGGTTCATGGTATAATCGATATTGAAACACTGTGTTATGTTCTCCCCGCCCGGCGCAAGCCACATGGACAGAAGACAAACAGCAATTTTGACACCGCGCTGACCCCGCTCCACGGCGGGGAAGCGACTGTATTCGAATGGCTTCGGTCCATGTTCTTTTTTATAGCTCCATGGTACCAGCATCTGTGTGCGTTTGTGTGAGAGCAAGTACCGTTCAGGATTGTATCGCACAAATCAAGGGAGTTATAATCTCCTTGCAGAGTGAGTTTGACCATAAACCTATGGTTTGACGTACCCGTAAACCCTCCTCCGCAACCGTCTCAATCTAGTCTCAGCTTCGACTGATCAGTCTTTTTGATATACATTTATAACAGACAATTTCAAGTAGGCCTACGGGATACATGAAGTCTTATCATTTTTTCCAATTGTTATGTCCGTGAAATGCATTCAGAAAAGAATATCAGAAAGAAAGCAATTTGAAAATGAATGACCACATAATCGTTCAGATAAACATGAAAGAAATACAATAAATATGTCTATCCAGATACCGCTCTCTCTCTCTCTATCTCTCTCTGTCCCCCCCCCCACCCCCTCTCTCTTTCCTACAGAAGTTCGATGTAATGTTCATCATATACCCTTGGAAGTTTCGAAAAAAATCATTTTCACCACATGGACCCTCTCTCTCTCTCTCTCCGAAATATAGACCCAGGCTCTCTCTGTCACTCTCTCTCTCTCTCTTGTTCCCTCTTTCCCTTCCTCTCGCACCCTCTCGATCTCCCTCTCTTCGCCTGTGCTCCTCTGCACTGCATGTTTGACTTGTTTTCTTTCATCCTCATCTACATTATAACCCCATCAAAAAACTATGGTCCTATCACGTGAATGAAAACTTCTATCGTCTTTGTGATTATTATTATCTTTGTCATATATTTATATGATCCTCATTTACATACACCCCAACAATGGTCCTATCGCGTGAATGAGAACTTCTATCGTTTTTACGATTATTATTATCCTTGCCAAACGTACTGTATTATCATATTCATTTACATGAACCACAACCAATTATGGTCCTATTACGCGAATGAGAACTTCTATCGTTTTTGTGATAATTATTATCTTTGTCATATAATTATATCACCCTCATTTACATAACCCCGACAAAAAAAATATGGTCCTATAACGCGAATGAGAACTTCTATCGTCTTTATGATTAGTATTATCCTTGTCATAAAATCCAACCAAAAACTACAGTCCTATCACGTGAATGAGAACTTCTATCTTCTTTGTGATTATTATTATTCTTGTCATATCACCCTCATTTACATAACCCCGACAAAAGAAATATGGTCCTATCACGTGAATGAGAACTTCTATCGTCTTTATGATTATTATTATCCTTGTCATAAAATCCAACCAAAAACTACTGTCCTATCACGGGAATGAGAACTTCTATCGTCTTTGTGATTATTATTATTCTTGTCATATATTTATATCATCCTCATTTACATAACCCCGACAAAAGAAATATGGTCCTATCACGCGAATGAAAACTTCTATCGTCTTTGTGATTATTATTATCCTTGTCATAAAATCCAACCAAAAACTACTGTCCAATCACGTGAATGAGAACTTCTATCTTTTTTGTGATAATTATTATCTTTGTCATATATATTTATATCCCCCTAATTTACATAACTCCGACAAAAAGAAATATGGTCCTATCACACGAATGAGAACTTCTATCGTCTTTGTGATTATTATTATTCTTGTCATATACTCTACCCCAAAACTAATGTCCTATCAGGTGAATCATAAGTTCTCTCGCATTCGTGATAATTATTATCTTTGTAATATTTTTACATCACCCTCATTTACATAACCCCGGCCGGCAAAAGAAATATGGTCCTATCACGCGAATGAGAACTTCTATCGTCTTTGTGATTATTATTATCCTTGTCATATTACTCCAACCAAAAACTACTGTCCTATCACGTGAATAACAAGTTCTCTCGCATTTGTGATAATTATTATCTTTGTCATACATTTATATTACCCTAATTTTACATAACGCCGACAAAAAGAAATATGGTGCACTCCTATCACACGAATAAGAACTTCTATCGTCTTTGTGATTATTATTATTCTTGTCATATACTCCACCCAAAAACTAGGGTCCTATCACGTGAATAATAAGTTCTCTCGCATTCGTGATAATTATTATCTTTGTAATATTTTTATATCACCCTCATTTACATAACCCCGACAAAAGAAATATGGTCCTATCACGCGAATGAGAACTATATCGTCTTTGTGATTATTATTATCCTTGTCATAAAATCCAACCAAAAACTACTGTCCTATCACGTGAATGAGAACTTCTATCGTCTTTGTGATCATTATTATTCTTGTCATATATTTATATCACCCTCATTTACATAACCCCGACAAAAGAAATATGGTCCTATCACGCGAATGAGAACTTCTATCGTCTTTGTGATTATTATTATCCTTGTCATAAAATCCAACCAAAAACTACTGTCCTATCACGTGAATGAGAACTTCTATCTTCTTTTTGATTATTATTTTTCTTGTCATAATATCACCCAAATTTACATAACGCCGACAAAAAGAAATATGGTGCACTCCTATCACACGAATGAGAACTTCTATCGTCTTTGTGATTATTATTATTCTTGTCATATACTCCACCCAAAAACTAGTGTCCTATCACGTGAATAATAAGTTCTCTCGCATTCGTGATAATTATTATCTTTGTAATATTTTTATATCACCCTCATTTACATAACCCCGACAAAAGAAATATGGTCCTATCACGCGAATGAGAACTATATCGTCTTTGTGATTATTATTATCCTTGTCATAAACTCCAACCAAAAACTATACTGTCCTATCACGTGAATAATAAGTTCCCTCGCATTCGTGATAATTATTATCTTTGTCATATATTTATATCACCCTCATTTACATAACCCCGACAAAAGAAATATGGTCCTATCACGCGAATGAGAACTTCTATCGTCTTTGTGATTATTATTATCCTTGTCATAAAATCCAACCAAAAACTACTGTCCTATCACGTGAATGAGAACTTCTATCTTCTTTTTGATTATTATTTTTCTTGTCATAATATCACCCTCATTTACATAACCCCGACAAAAGAAATATGGTCCTATCACATGAATGAGAACTTCTAACGTCTTTATGATAAGTATTATCCTTGTCATAAAATCCAACCAAAAACTACTGTCCAATCACGTGAATGAGAACTTCTATCGTTTTTGTGATAATTATTATCTTTGTCATATACTCCACCCCAAAACTACTGTCCTATCACGTGAATCATAAGTTCTCTCGCATTCGTGATAATTATTATCTTTGTAATATTTTTACATCACCCTCATTTACATAACCCCGACAAAAGAAATATGGTCCTATCACGCGAATGAGAACTTCTATCGTCTTTGTGATTATTATTATCCTTGTCATAAAATCCAACCAAAAACTACTGTCCTATCACGTGAATGAGAACTTCTATCTTCTTTTTGATTATTATTTTTCTTGTCATAATATCACCCTCATTTACATAACCCCGACAAAAGAAATATGGTCCTATCACATGAATGAGAACTATATCGTCTTTATGATTAGTATTATCCTTGTCATAAAATCCAACCAAAAACTACTGTCCAATCACGTGAATGAGAACTTCTATCGTTTTTGTGATAATTATTATCTATGTCATATATATTAATATCACCCTAATTTACATAATTCCGACAAAAAGAAATATGGTCCTATCACACGAATGAGAACTTCTATCGTCTTTGTGATTATTATTATTCTTGTCATATACTCCACCCCAAAACTACTGTCCTATCACGTGAATAATAAGTTCTCTCGCATTCGTGATAATTATTATCTTTGTAATATTTTTACATCACCCTCATTTACATAACTCCGACAAAAGAAATATGGTCCTATCACGCGAATGGGAACTTCTATCGTCTTTGTGATTATTATTATCCTTGTCATAAACTCCAACCAAAAACTATACTGTCCTATCACGCGAATGATAACTTCTATCGTCTTTGCGATTATTATTATTCTTGTCATAAACTCCACCCAAAAACTACTGTCCTATCACGTGAATAACAAGTTCTCTCGCATTGGTGATAATTATTATCTTTGTAATATATTTATATCACCCTCATTTACGTAACCCCGGCCGGCAAAAGAAATATGGTCCTATCACACGAATGAGAACTTCTATCGTCTTTGTGATTATTACTATCCTTGTCATAAACTCCAACCAAAAACTATACTGTCCTATCACGCGAATGAGAACTTCTATCGTCTTTATGATTAGTATTATCCTTGTCATAAAATCCAACCAAAAACTACTGTCCTATCACGTGAATAAGAAGTTCTCTCGCATTTGTGATAATTATTATCTTTGTCATATATTTATATCACCCTCATTTACATAACCCCGACAAAAGAAATATGGTCCTATCACGCGAATGAGGACTTCTATCGTCTTTGTGATTATTATTATTCTTGTCATATATTTATATCACCCTCATTTACATAACCCCGTCAAAAGAAATATGGTCCTATCACGCAAATGAGAACTCTTATCGTCTTTGTGATTATTATTATTGTTGTCATAAACTCCAACCAAAAATTACTGTCCTATCACGTGAATGAGAACTTCTCTCGTTATTGTGATTATTATTATCTTTGTCATATATTTATATCATCCTCATCTATAACCCTAAACAAAAATAATATGGTCCTATATCACGCGAATGAGAACTTCTAGAGAGAGAGAGAGAAAGTTGGAGCGAAAGAAAGATGAAGGGTTGATATCATTGACCTACTATGGTGATAGTAAGTGAGAGAGAGACAGTCATCAGACAGACGGACACAGACCGACAGAGAGAGAGACTAACAAGTGATATGGATATAGAAATATGATACAGACGGGGATGAACGAGGTGATGCGATGAGAGGGAGAGAGAGAGACACTCAGACAGACATCAAAAGAGAATGGTATGGGGTAGAGAAATAAAGAGAGAGGGAAAGAAAATGGGAGAAATAAAGATAGCGAGAGAGAGAAGAGAGAGAGAGAGAGAGAAAGGAGAGAAGGGATAGAGAGGGATACAAAAGAGAGATACAAAAGAGAGAGGGGGAGATGAGAGTGATATAGAAGCGACAGAGAGAGTGAGAGAGAGAATTTCAAGGGAGAGTGTTATAACAAGGAGTTACTACATGTAGTAACTCCTTGGTTATAACATGGACCTGGTTGGGGGGCGAAGGATATAATTCAATTATACGGAAAGAGAGAGATTAGCCCAAACCATAGCCCAAACACGTGTAGCAATTACTGACCTCTACCAGAGGTCATTTAGCAGGATAAACAAAACGTACTCGTAAACTTACTAAGGGATGATCTAAAAATAAGAATGTGCAGTATACACATGATCGACTGTTCGTGAAAACGTCAAGTCAACCTTATTATTGATTAATCTTCGTTTGTAAGATTAAACGTATCTTCCTTATTTTTAATAAAGAAATGCAAAATAAATAATGTTACGTTCTCTCTATAAATGATTACCCAAACTGTCCCTGTACAACGACTTTGGGGAGTATTTTGAGATCATCCCTAAAAAAAAATGTGCTAGGAAATTCTTCGGGCCAATCCGGCACATAGACTAATACACGTACACACGTAACATGTACTATACGTAGGCCTAATACATGCACAGGGATGCCAGATCATGTCACCACGACCACTTGACTGACTAGACCAAAATACAGGCAATGTGTGCGTTCGTTCACAGAGCTGACGAACAACAATATTATCAAAGTCGAGCCATAACAAATGCATTTCAAAGTTGAAAACACAGAAACGATTAAGAGAGGGAAATGGAAAAATGAGTTGAAGAGAACAACACAGAATATTCCGGCCCGCACAGGAAATACATAGACTAACGTACGTAAGTACAATAAGATGGCGGCGGTCCGATCGATTATAAAAATTTATATAGCGATTACAGTGTACAGACAAGTGTTTTTTTTCTTCAAATTTGGGAGACAGTATAAAAATCTTACACTAAGGCAACTCGACTTTAAAATAATTATCTTTATGATTATATATATTGTTTAAGTCTGGTAATATGATTTGGTGTCAAAACATGTTAATTACTACACTTTGACAATAGTGCTATATATGTGTTATGCTGTTCAGATGACATGTAAATTTTCGAACTGAGAGGGAGCTATACCAAATTTACCGGGAGTACCGGTAAATTTTTTTATTTTTTAAAATTTTAATTACTCCAAATCAAAAGCTTTTTAGAGCCCAATTTTTTTAGAGTTGGGTGTTCTAACACTATGTTTCACAATAGTAATGCAAATTTTAAATTTCATGATCCAATCCTGATGAAATATTCCCAAAACTTTGTAATACCTTTAAGAACAAAACTATCTACCACACAGGCAGGGAAATATTACATCATCATCATCATCATCATCATCTGGTACAGGAAGAAGGCGTTGGCCTGTAATTCCCGGTCACTGCTTCTAGGTTTAGCCTGTTAGATTTATTACTGAGTGTATGCGCATGATCTACCAAAGAATTGTACTATTGCAGATTAGAGACATTTTCTAATTAACCACTTGCCTACTAGAACCAAGTGACCCCTTCTATTAGCCTTATGAGAATGAATGAATTTAGTACTCAACAGGTTAACAAGAAACACATTTGTTAAACATACCAACAGGCATGAGTTTGCAGAAACCATCCTTCCCTCTCGTTGGCTCTCCTGTTGCAAAGTCATACTCCACAAGCTGAAAACCATCTATCAATTTCTGTTTGGATCATATTTTCAAACAGAGAAATGAGAAAAAATAAAAACAAATCATAAGTCACAACATAATTGAAACATTGATAAATCTTTTGTCACATTATTATAAATAGAGAAACAAAAGCTGGAGCTTAAATGTAATACTATCACATTATTCTGCAAAGCTAAGAAAAATTGAAGAGAGAGGACTTAATCGTATTTGTTTTCATTGAGGCAGCTGGGAAAATTCTTGTAGCAAGTGGAGTTCAAAATATTTTTGACATAATAATAATAATGATATTCAGCTTTTATATAGCGCTTAATACATCTCGGACGTCTCTAAGCGCTTAACAGATATACTATTACCCCGGTCATTGGATTCAGTGCTTGCCCGCACACACTGTGTGCACAATCTCCACTCCCTGGGGAGCATTCCAGCCAGGCGTGACTTGACGCTCAAAAACTGTTTGACCAAAAATGGCGGTTGCATCCTACCGGGGTACCCATTTTAACACCTAGGTGGAGAGTAGCAAGTGTAGGTTAATATATTGCCAAAGGTTATTAGTGCCATCTCGATTTGAACCCTCGACCTTCGTATCTCCAGTCAAGCGCCTTAAACCACTCTACCACGACGCACAAGTTATCTAGGGCATAGTATTAAAAAGGATGAAAGAATTTTAGACCATAATTTTGAACTTGTAAATAATTTCTGGTTTCCATAATTTAACCATAAGTTAACCCAATACCTAAAGGAACTGGGTGGCTCCTGTATTGAGCCTATGGGGAAGAGAGAATTCAGGAGTCACCATCTACATGTAGAAGTGTCGCAGTCGGGTGGTTTAAGCCAGGGTTGGCATATTTCCCCCCTCAGAGGCAAGCGGTATTTACCAGTATTTACCGCTTTTTACCGGTATTTACCACTTTTTACCGGGAAATACCGGGAAATATATTTTTCCACTCACTTGTTCATAGGGATTGTCCAATTTTGAACATAATAACAATGGTGGTGAGTATGGTTGCTCTTGTGTGTACTATTTGTGTGTGTGTGTGTGTGTGTTTGTTTGTGTTTGTCTATGTCTGTAATTATGTAATGCTTGTAAAAAATACAGGAAAAAGATACCAAATATACACCTAATCTAGATATGATGTTCTTCATTAAAGGGAACCAAAACCTTCGTACTAAGTTACTTTTATTGTAAAGTTTAAGATATTTAATGAAATCAGTTAAAAATTGAACAAAATCGGGCAAGGAATAGGGAAGTTAAAGCTTTTTAAAATGACTAGTCACTAGAGGGCGATATTCAATTTGATGACATCATTTGTGGACAGCTCTCCATGCCTTTTGTATCAAATTTCACAATTCTTTTGTTTTTTTCCTATTTATTTGTGTTCTTGATCGGATTTCATAACATGTGAAGTAGAATATCATTTTGTATTCTATTATCTCAATCACAAGAAAGAAGGAAAAACATGAAATTTGATGTACAAAATTACCATATTCATGAATACCTATTAATTAGCATATGAACAAAATGCCATTTGTTTGGGTGTGTACATGTATGCAGTGAGGATTTTATAAATCTGTTTGTATGTTCCTACTATGAGTATTGTGCTGCTAATTATTTCAGAATAATATTTCCAGTTATGAGGCTAAAAACAAGTAAAATTATTAATAAATAGAGAATTAAAATCATATTTCCTGTTTTTTACATATTTACCGGACGCGCATCTTATTTACCGGACGGTATTTACCGCCGGTAATTACCGCCACCGGTATTTACCGCCCAACCCTGGTTTAAGCACTTGACTTTTAATTCAAAGGTCATGGTTCGATCCCTGACACGGCACTAATGTCCTTTGGCAAGGCATTAATCTACATTTTCCACTCAATACCCAAAGGAGAAATGGGGACCCGGTAGGATGTCGAAAGCATTTGTGTTAGTAATTGCCTATCCCCTTATGGTGACCGTATGGTAGGAATCTCCCCAGGGAGTGGAGATGGTGCACATTGTGCGTAAATGAATCGGATGACCGGGGTAATAATATTTGTAAAGCGCTTAGAGACGATATACCGTATTAAGCTCTTTATAAATCCAAATTATCATTTTTAAAAGATATGTAATACAATGAGACGTTTTGAGATGTACCTTCAATATCCACGGGTATCGTCCGATACTCCCAACCGCTCCCTCAAAGTTGATGAACCCAGCATTGCCTTCTGTCGCAGCGTAAATCTCTATTATTTTCTCAATGTTGAAGCGAGACCGGAACTCCTCCCAGATTTCAGGCCGAAGACCATTCCCCAATGCGATCTTTAGCTTTCTTGGGTACTTGCCATCGTCGTTTCGCTACAGGATTACAAATAAATGTGAAAATCTACATACATGTACATTTAAAACCTACTGTTACGAAGGCCTTTTCAAGAAAAAAATGTTCCCAGAAGGTTCAGATGCAAGATTGAACCCATATCAAACCATATAAAAGAATCCATGATACAAAATATGCAAATAGTAATTTTCTGGGGAAATTGGACGCCTGATTAATTCTGTCCATTTTACGTTAAAGAATGCCTTTCCTTCTATTGCCTTGATACTTTAAGGCATTGAATAACAATGTTAAATCTGAGATGCACGACCCTACGTGTTATCAGTGTCTGTGATATGGTGTAATATTGAAGCCCTAAAAATTGAGCTTCAAAATGATCAAGAATTGCCTCAAAAAAGTAAAAATCTTTTAGTGACCGGTTTTACGATACTCGTTTCCCCCAATAGACTGTAGTATTTTAAAAACCGTTAGGAAAACGCAAAAATTTGGTTTTGATTTCCAATCATAAATATCTTGATAATCAGACAGGCAAGCAGCTCGTAAAAGTCATGCGGATCCTGACTGACCTAAAGGTTTATAATTATCATTGCAGCATGAGCTAAATCCAGGATTATGTTTCAGAATCTGAGACAAAGTTACCGGATCCCTTTAAATATCACTGTGGTGTTTGACTGTATGTACATGTATACATAGAAAGACACATGTTATCAAAGTGACCCTGATCAACAGTCATTGTAAATAAGCTCTTGAGATTTCATGGGCTGCCTCCTGCCTGTCAAGTTAATTTTGAATTTCCTTGTGTTCGATATCTTTTTTTTTTCTTTTCATGGTTTTTTTAACCACTCTATTTTAATTCTTGTTTATTTGAGCTGTACGAATCAATTCAAATCAAATCAAATCAAATCAAATCAAATCAAATCAGTCATTTGGTTTGAGACTAAGCTTAAAGGTAATCATTATGTATGAAGGGCATTGCTATATCAGTCTGAAGGGTTTTATCAGTTGTAAGTCCAAAGTACAATATCAATAATGCTCCACAGATGACCCAAGATACTGTTATCCTCGAGTGTTTAATCAAAGTGCTCTTAACTAAGAGTAGTATCCTAAATATAATCTGATTTGTGAAGAGACTAAAGTGTAAACTTGTAAAGCCCTACAGAGGAGCAGTCCTCGGACTGAAGTAGGCACCCGTGCTTAAATAAAGTAAGGGAAATTAGATGCTTTGACTACGGTACAAAAATAATAATAATAATAAAAGGAACATTAGCAAAATATACCACAATAATACACAGCAAATGTTAATTCATCTTGCCATGAAAGGACTTTGAATCTAGATCAGGAAGTGACATTGACGGAGCAACATAAACACAAAAAAATTTCCTTCTTAATCAGGAATCATTAAAAAACTAGATGGAATTCGACTGCGCGCAGTCGAAAATGATGCCTCCGAAGATATTTTTCCGATTCAAGTTCAATTGTAATCCATTGACAGGTTCTCAGAATATCGTGATTACAAGCAATTTCTCATATACATATATGACCCTTTGATCTTTGACCTCATGACCCTAAAATCTACTCAGTTCATTGGCTCTGCAAGATGTCCTGAGTTAGATAGTAATCCATCTGTCAGTTCTAATGAGAATGCATTCACAAGCTATTTTTGCATACATAATGAGCCCATGATCTTTGACCTTTGACCTTATGAACCAAGAATCTACTCAGTTCATTGGCTCTGCAAGTAACATACATGACCTAATTTTGGCAGGAATCCATCAATCGGTTCTTGAGATAACGCGATCACAAGCTGTTATTGCATACCTAATGAGCCCTGTGACCTTTGACCTTTGACCTCGTGACCCCAAAATCTAATCAGTTCATCAGCTCTGCAAGATACATACATGACCAAAGTTTGGCAGGAATCAATCGATCGGTTCTTCAGATAACGCGATCACAAGAACGGGACGTACCTACGTACGTACGGACAACCCGAAAACATAATGCCTCCGGCTACTTTGTAACGGAGGCATAAAAAATTAAAAAACAGATATGCCCTTCTATGCCCTGCCCCCCCCCCCCTTGCCCTCATCCCATTGGTGGATTGAGATCAACAATGAGGAAATATTGTGCCCTCTGTTTTTGATGCCCATCAATGACATTAAACCTAAAAAGGCCCCCGAAAATGTGATGACTTTTATCTTTTTGCATCTTACCTTAGGCTGGGCTATAAGATATCTGCACAGCTCTCCTATGTACTGGAAACCAGTCGCATCGTGTCTCCTTATATCATCCCAAAAATGCCTGGCAGAAAACTTCTTGGCCAATGCAACAGTCCCACCTGTTTGTAAACAAATTAGCAAAATATCTTTATTCATTTACAAGTGATTTGAAATTCTTTATTCACTCACGAGTTACGTGTGATTTGAAAATCTTTATTCACTCACGAGTTACGTGTGATTTGAAAATCTTTATTCACTCATGAGTTACTGTTGATTTGAAATGCAAATCAAAATCCATGTGCTATGTGTGTTTGAATTTGCTTTTCCTGCCTTAATGCAATTATCAATTACATGCACCTTACCTTGGGTAATACCAGGTAGCTTTTTTCATGCACAGTAATATATAATCAATCTTTTTCTTCATTAAGTCTAAGCACTTTAAGATATTGAAACAAAATGGCTTAAGGTAGCAAATTCTATTTTGGCGATTCATATGAGAGTGTTAACCTGTATTTATAATGCAAGCAGTTAATGGCTAATCATTCATATTTTCCATTATCAAGGAGATTTCATGTTCTTGATGTGGAATTTATCAAAAGTCTAATATACTTGATTATTTGCTTTTGAATATACAAATAGCTCTCCATAACATTAAGTCCGTCTTAGAGTTAAGTTTGACTTAGGATCTTTGTGAAACACCCCCAGGGTATAATAGCCCTTGAGCATAGTTTGCAAAGTCATAAATAGTTACCATGGTAGAAGGTGGCACAGACAGATATAAAGAGAGCAGCAGAATGGTAGAGAGGCAGAACCACATAGTACGTGTCATCTGGTGTCAGATCAGAGAAAGCATGGAGAAATATTCCACGGATGATCTTACGATGAGGAATCGTCGCTGGTTTTGGCAGACCTGTTAAAATGAAATACAAGAAAATGTTTAAGTTTCATCAACATATATATATACACATAAGATTTTAAATTAACACAAAATAAACACTGGCACTCACTGATTTATCATTTAAAGACTTATTATTTGATAAGCAAGGATTGTTCTGAAACAATGTGAACCCATTAAACTTGATTGCACAGGGATTCGGGGTTACTGCATAGGTTTGGTGTAAAAACGTCACAGATAAACATTTCAGAGTGGCACAATATTTGTTCATTCACTTTCAATTCCTTGGCAGTACATGCTCACATATGGATTTTGCCAAGTATCTTTAGAGAAGTACAAATACTTAAGTAATATTGACTGCCTTCTGGGCAATACGACATATATCGCCCGAACCGAAGGTGAGGGTGACATATGACAAGTCGTATTGCCCTGAATTAGGCAGTCAATATTACTATTATTAACCACATCAGACATCTAGAGCAAACAAGAAACTCTTACTATCTTATACTCTTAAATTATGTAGGCTACACAGGGTTTCCTAGCATTAGAAGTTGCAAAAACATTGTCAAACCAGCACTGTTCATCCAGTGTTTGACAGATTTTCGATACACTGCAGACAGTTTGCTTAGGGTGTGATTGTTTCGTCACAATAGAGTTCGCGCAAAGTGTGCATTTTCTTATACACGATGCGCGATGTAAATTACAATAGCTGATGCGCGATGTAAATTACAACTGGCACTATATTATTGCTCACTAGTTTAACACGCATTTTGCCATTGACTTTTCAGAGCGGGCTAAAATATTTGTCCATTGACTTACTGTATAACCTATATTGCCCGCCAAATTACACACAAATCCCACTGACTGTTCTGAGCGGGCTAAAATATTTGCGCATTGGTTTACTGTATAACCTATATTGCCCGCCAAATTACACACAAAATCCCATTGACTTTTCTGAGCGGACTAACTTATTGTAATTTTGTTGACTTATCCATCAAACCTTGAGGGCAATAACATTTAAAAATTGCCCTGCTCAGATGTCTGATACGGTTAATAATGGATTATATTCATACTCAGGGGTGATTGTGAGCACTAAAAAAAAAGGGGGAGGGGATTTCCCCTCAACCACACCCCCTTGAGAAAAAAAAAGAAGAAGAGGATTCGGGGGGGGGGGGGGGGGGGGGAATGGCAGCTAACAACATTCCCCCCTTTTGAGTAAGAAATTGGGGGAAAATAGGGAAAAATAGGGGAAAATAGGGGAAAATAGGGGAAAATAGGGGAAAATAGAGAAAATAAGGGGAAAATCTGGATAAAATCTGGATATTAAAAATCGGAAGAAAAAATGATTAAAAAATAAATTGGGTAAAAAAAAATATTGGGAAACCGATTTAAATCAGGTAATTATCAGAACTGCAAACTGTACCTGTAGTTCCAGAGGTAAAGATGTAGGAGGAAATCTCATCCATTGTCATCGGCTCACTGGCAAGAGGTTCACCAGACATCATGCCTGTATCCATGGAAACGACCCCTACTGGATACTCTATGCCAGACATCCCTGAATCGTTAACCATCCATAGCTCCACATTGAGAGCCTGTAGCTCTGGCATCAACTCTTCTACCACCTCCAAGAACTCTACAACACAAAATGAAGAAATAGAATAGCAGATCAACTGAATGAAGTCATACAATTCTTTCCAGGATGCGATAGAGTCAATAGACCTACATGTACATGTACCAAAAAAGGAAACCTAGACCTAAGCATAATTTGAAGTGACTATAAACAAACAAATATGAGCTTGTTAAGGACATTAAACTTGATAGAAACATTCAAACATCAATCTTTATTTTATGATCCAAAATAATTTTACCAGATTTAGGGAGCATAACCATAACCGCCAGCCCATGCCATCCACGGTGGATCCACCATTGGCTTACAACAAACAAAATGTGCCTCATCCTTAATTTTCAACCAAAATCTAAGGCAACTGAAAATGTGATCCAACCTTTCTTTTTTCTTTTACACCTTTTTATTCTTTCTTTTTGCTTGATTTAAGAACTGCTTATTACAGAAATATAGATAAATAAAATTTCAGAGGACCCCGTTTTACTCCTAAATCCACCTTCGCTTAAAATCATATAAAAAAAATATTACCTGTTCCAAAGACGAGCTTCTTGGCTTCACTGACTCTAATGCATTCTAAGATAGCAGATGGCTTCAGGTTAAAGTTGAGAAGACTTGTAATGATTCCTTTCTTGAGAAAACCAAGCCATGTCCAGATAAAAACAGGACTGTTCTGAAGCAGCATACAAATTGCATCGCCTTTCTTCAATGTCGGATCAGCCGAGGTCACCCAGCGGGCGACGCGAGCAGCATTCGCCCGAACTTCTCCGTACGTGTACGCCTCCTTCTCGAATAAAATACCAGGATGGTCGGGGTTTTCCAAGGCTTTTTGCTCGAAGATATCGACAATCGTATGTCCTGCATTTAGCTGTCTTTGCATATTCGAGTTGAGGCGCGCAAATCTCTTCACAAAATCGACATCTTTCCAAAATGTCGGGTACCTATAACGAAGCCACAGATAGCTGGCAGGTATAGAAGCGACAGCTGCTGCGAGAGCAGGCGGCCCGATCCCCCGTGCTTTGGCCATCTATCTCCGCTCGTTATGCTACTCACTTCAGCCGCTTGCGATCAACGAGTACAGCTTGTTCAAATTCAGATCAGGGTATCTTGCTTTCTCAGATGAGCGTCACTTTTTGGATCTTGCTGAGTTTATTATGTGAAGGTCTTGGTATATCCCCAAAAGTGCAATTGAAATATTAAAGTTCTTACGAGGCATTCGCGATCCTACAGCATGGGGCTGTATGCAATTAAGTGGGTGTGTGTAAATAGTTTAATTCAAGCCAAAACAGATTTTCAGTTTCAATAAAACGCCAGTCTTTCATTTCATTTTATCATATAAGTTATCAACTATACTATCTTTATTTGACAGAGACGTGTTTTATATAAATCAGCTAAAATTCTAATTGATGATTGTAATCTTTACGTAATAATTGTAATTTAGTGATTTTTAGTTTCTTGGGCTAGAAATATAAGGCTGAAAACGAAACTAGTGTATCGTTTTCCTTGAGATAAGGACTGATCAGCGAATTGATCGTACGATATGGAAACACCATACTATAATATTTCTTTCATAGATGTTTATTTCATTTAGAGGAAAAGAAAAGAAGATGAATAGACGTAGAATGGTATTTTACAACGTTATGTTATCAAATGCTAACCATATTACTTTCTTTGTATATAAGATTTCAGACAAATGCACTCATGATTTTCCTTCATCATTTGCTTTGAGAGGTGTAGTATACGTTGTGAATTTTGATTTTATATGCATGATCTTTATATGATTTAATGATTTTTGAACAGAATATTGATAACTCTCAAAGATGTTTAATAAAATACAATGCAAGACAACAGTCACTTTTACAATACAATGCAATACAATACAATAAGCCTACTTACAATTCCTTTGGGATTGATATTTCTTAAATCAATTTGTTGTACTAATGTATGAACAGGTACATACACTTTGTTAATGTTGTTGCCAGAAAGAAAGACACAAATTTAGTTAAATCCAAATGAAAGGTTGAAGCCCCCAACTGCGACCCATAAATGTTAATTTAAATGAGAAAGTATAGTTGTGCGAGCGGAACGTAGTATAACCGAGCGAGATCTTACATAAATAAAGAACACCATTTTAATTGGCTCTGTTGTACTCTAACTATACCGTTATATGGAATGCACCCCCTTCTTTACGTTTATTAAACTCACTGGATTCATTAAAAAGGACTGCAAACTCCTTTCTCTCACATAGTTTATAATAGTACTTACATGAATATTTTACCCCCCCCCCCCCCCCATTGATTTCAATATTTTATCTTGTTTAATTTTGTGTTCATTATAACTTATTGTTTATATGTTTTGTAAAAATGTTTTTGATTATGTTGATACAGGGCCCCTTGGTCGAGCAGTTTATATAACTGAAAGGGATATATCAAAATAAAATGACAAATAAATAAAATAAATAAAAATCTAACTAAAAAAATTGAATCTCTTTGCTCGGCCGCTACGTTCCCTCGCACAATTTTTTTTTAACAGTCGAAATTAAAGAAGAACTGTAGGAAATTATAATAATGATAATAATAATGATAACAGTATCGCGACATCACAAAGTATATCACACTGGGCGTTGTTACAGGAAAATGCAGAGTCTTTTGGGGGTGGATAGGGGCAGAGTATAGTGTATACCACTCGGATGGAAATACTGGCTCAGCCCCCTCAACAAATGTCGTTCATTACGCCACTGCCCATTTCTTCCTTACCCCTCTTGTTTATGCTTTATTACATTCTTGCCTAGATGTTCTACATCGGTGATGGGTCAAATCGGTAATTGAGGAAGAAGCAATAGCGCCCTCTTTTCTGTTTCTCTTTCTCTTTTCGTTTGTTATTGTCGATGTTAGTGTCTAGTGGATGTGTTTGTACATGATTCGTTTCATTTTGTCTCTTTTCGTTTGGTTTTCTCACATTTCATCCACCTTAAAAGTCAGCCCTAGCCCTCTACACTCCGTGACCCCAGCACCGTATTAAAGATTTAACCGACGCTAATGTATTTGTTATTATTATAGACATTAGGAAGTTAGTTTTTCGAGAAAAAGAAAAGGGGGTGGGGTAACATTTAATTCCTATACCTAGAAGCGTTTTACATTTATCTTCTCAGAAAAACTCAGTGTAAATAAAAAAAGGGTCTGGATTTAACAATAATTGAGATATGGATTCTATAAAAGTATGCTTTGTAGCTCTTTAACTTAAAGGAAATATTATTTAGGCATGCAATATTGTATATCATGAGATACGCGACCTTTGGTATAGTAACTTATATAGCCTCCGCATTAACGTCACACACCGGAAGAAAGTTTGGCAAAACCATTCACAAACAGGAAAAATTAAACAGTCTGCAAGTCTTCCTTATCTATTAGTTGCTATGGCAATGATTGTCTGGTGGAGGTATTTTTGTTAAAATTTCTTATAAACAGTGATTAATATAGAGTATATTAAGGAAACCTAATATTCTGGCCAAAAAAAGGTGAAGTCCCATGATCACACGAGGTAGATAGATTAGGTACAGATTCAGTCAGTGGTGGATTGAAAGAAGGGGAGAGTGACTAATTCGTCCTTTTTAACAAAAATGAAGCTATGTGTGCGGGTAAGCCTGAATCCGACGACCGGGGTAATAATATGATTGCAGGGCCCTCAGGGAGAACAGTATGAATACTGATGAGGCTACCATGGGTAAACCAGATATATTATTATTATTATAACTGCCCCTCCCCTCCCCTATGGGCCGACAGGAATCACTTTTAAAACAATTGTTGAGATATTTAGCCTCCTTTCTTGCTGAAAGTCATGCATTTAGACATTGTTGTATTTGCTTAATAACGTTTAAAAACATTTCACACATAAGACAACGGTATCCTCGGACAACTCTTTCATTTATTTATTCATTTTTATTTTTTTATTTTTACAAGGTAGCATTGTCTGTCAGACTGACTCAGTTGACGGACTCAGTTTAAAAAAAACTGCTTTCCACGATGGCCCTGTTAGCCATATGTATATAATTATGTTTATATACGTTATGATTAAAGATTGAAATTATAGACAAAGTGATAATTGCTAAGTTATTTATACATACTCTAAACATAACCATACTGTTTAGAACTGACATTACAACTACATTCATTCTCTGGTAGGTGGTAGTACACTATTATAAAACAAGGAGATTACCTTATTGTCATAATCATCGACCTTTGACATATCGGTGAAGGCTCTAGACTCTCATGCGACAGGTTCTGGGTTCGGTCCTCGCTCGGTGCTCACATCATTGGACAAGGTATTTTACCCACATTTTGCCCCTCTCTACCAAGGTGTAAAATGGATACCTGACAATGTTGTGGTAATACGAATTGCAAGGCCTTCATGGAGAGTAGTATTTTTCTGTCAATTCAATTCGATATGAATTAATATTTATGTGGATACTCTGGATACCACTAAGTAAATAAGACTCAATTAAAGACCGAAATTAGGCTTTATGTTATTATCAAAATATTTATCCTTTAGGCGGTAGTATTATTAAACATAGAATCTGTATCGACATTTACCTTTGTGGTAGCTCGATCTTAAATTTGTAACACGTCATAATTATTGTTGCCTTCTCATGCTGCACTATCACATTGCTAATAGCGTATGTCTACTGCCAGAAGGGCGTTCATTTTATGTGAGTATATAACGCCCATCTAGCTCTTAAATTTTAAAACGTCATATTTGTGGCTCTCGCACGCTACTTCAACCACATTGCTAACAAGTATTGCCCCAAATATTATAGCGTCTACTGATTACCAAAGGGGCGTTTACTTTATGTAAGTATATTACGCCCTTATGGCTTGCAACCGCATCACAAACGTCAGTTTTCAATCGCGCAGCATATACAATCGAATTTAATGAATTTCATTACACTGGAATGACAGGTAACTTATTTAATTAGCCAATTGTAATCTATATTCTAATTGGTTAATGAAAGGGGATCTCCCTGGGTTGAATTAAGTCGCAGTGATTTTTATTTGAACATCTAATTGGTTAAAATAGCCTGGCTAATGAAAATATGAAAGACTTAATAATAATATTAAATGCCATAGAAAGATGTATTTCTAAGTAGCTGGGAAGAATAAAAGATTAGTGATGATCCATGAAAGAGAAAACGCTCTTAAAAACAAAGAGAATATGAACTTAAGAACCCAATGTCGAGGTATTTTATATAAATTTGAGGTATTAGCCACATATACCATTTTCCATGCCTCTGAATTGTGGTTTCCATGCATCATCTGCAGATTATACTGTTCTAGTTTCATGCATGAACAAGAGACAAACGTTTCCTCATATTGTTATAATTGCTGGGATGCATTATAATTGTTGGGAGAAAATTGGAAATTTGTTGACTGTCCAGTTAAGGGGCGTATCTAGGCATTTATTAATATAAGGATAGGCCTCCAACTCCCCGCATGTGGGGTGGGGTGGGTGCATGGGCGTAACATTGCAGCTTTGAAATAGTAACGAGAGAACAAAATAGACATCATCTCAAGTTTACTATTAATAGTGCTATTACTAAAGATGCCCAAAGAAGAAATCACGAGAAAGGAGGCAGAGACGGAGAGAAGAGGTATAGCGAAAAAAGAAAGAAAAGGTAACAGATGAGAAATCAACAACCAAAAACAGAAGACGATGGAAAAACGAAAAAAATATCCCAAAGATCTGGTAAAGAGGAACTTTTCGCGCAAAAAAGTCGGGCCTAGGATTTGTAAAATAAACAAGGGGTGTATTTTTCTTTTTTCTTTCTCTCTTTCTCTCTGGATTTTTGAGAAATTTAAAAAGGGGTTATGAAGTATCTTGAATATCATAGATAGGGGGGTACATTGAGAAGTTTTAGGGGATTGAAGGGGGATCCAAGGCAGGAAAAGCCCGCAAGAAGCCCGCGAAAGGGGGGGGGGGGGGGCTCATGGCTACAGAATTCAAAGCTCATTTCACAGTTACATTTTTAAATAAAGGATAAAATATGATGCATAAGCTGTTGTTTCTTTTATACATTTTTTAAACAGAGTCTTTGTCATGTTTCTTTGTCTGCCGCCTTTTTCTTCCTGCGTCCTCTTACTTTTTCCCCTTCTCTCTCTCTCTCTCTCTCACTCTTTTTTGTTGTTGGGGGGGGGACGCCCCCACCGCCCCTGGCTTCACACCTGTGAGATTCGGGAACATAGAGGTGTCCTCTAACGCACCTCTATATCCTCGAATCTCTTGTTTCCTAGTTTCATAAATGACTTTCGAAATAATGAAACAAACAATAATCAGCCGCAATAGATATGATTATCCTTCGACTGGTATTATGTTACACCATTAGAATAGAGCGGATGTTTTTCTCACCCCAAACGTCAATGGATGTGGGAAGAAATTGGGTCAGAAGACAAAGCTTTACATCTTTCCTGCTAAAAAAAAAATTAATGGGATTGACAATAATCTAGACGTAATTGCGTGGGTGGCGGTGGACAAATGGATCGAAAGCGATTAAACAAAAATTGACGTAGCGATGGACTTTAGCCCTTTAGCTTGAGCGTGAATATCATATATATCGCTGCAGGAGATCGCGGTCATATAAACCAGGTTTGTTTCTTGCAGACGATATTGTGTTCCATGCCGAGTAAGGGTTGCGTTGGAAATTGGAAGCGCGCGCATTATACGTCGGACGTGTTTTGAAGCAAAGCCTTGAAGACAGCGGAAATCAGTGGTCTGAATATTCGACAGGGCGATAAACGTTATTCGGCTCAGTTCCAGACGTCAAGGGGAAACGAACTAGTCTTAAAAAATTGCAAATCCTTGATATCACACATTGGATTTAGAAGGATATTTCACATTAAGAGACCACAACCTGGCACTACACTCTACACTCTCGGCTTAAAACTTCAAAGCTTCTATTACTAGGCCGCAAGTAAGGCAGAACATCCAGCCCTGCTTCAGCTCCATCCAGTATATTCTTCATCATATTTTTAAGCCACTACACTGCTAAAATTTGTTTAGAAATACATGTATTGCCAATCTTAGAGTGCTGCAGTAAGACGTGGTAATACTTGAAACAAGAGCCACTAATCGACCGATTTTATTCAGGGAGAGAGAATGGCTGGTGGAAGGGAGATGGTGTGCAAACAAGTCAGCTGTTTGCTTGTGTCCGTGTTTGTTCTACTGCTCAAACAGACGGGAGAATGTGCGGCGAATCTCGGTGAGTCATCTAACTCTGGAACCACACTTTGCATATTTCCATCTTCCCAACCCATATCTTACCAATTTGAATCTTTTGTCTATACCAAATTCTATTATGGCAAAGCATATTATGTGTGTTACTCGGGTCATTCAGACGTCTAATTAGATGAATCTATGTTAATCTATGTAGCCTCAAAATGCCTCGAAAAAGTAATGTCAAAGTGTGAAAACAAAACAAAGGTCTACCTTTTTGTCATATTAAAGTGTATTGACAAAATATGCATATTTTAGTTTTAGGCTAGCTAGCAACTTCTCCATGTTAAGACTTGATGCAACGTATTTAAAGTTATGTTTAAGTTTATATCATAAATAATCATCACCTGATGTTGTGTTATCACATAATTATCATTATATGCCTATTTTCTTGGGTGTGTTTTAAGGCTATTCTAAACAGTCATTCATGTTAGAAGGTTGTCTGATTAAGTCTTGCGTTAATATATCGACGATATAATTAGCATTTCCCGATCAATTCTTTATCATCCTTATCTTGGCCCGGGATTAATTGTTGGGCTATAACTGTTTTGGATTACGTAATCGACCATCCCCCTGGATCATGAGACGCTAGAGACTGGCATGACACGTGTGAGAGAGAGAGAGAGAGAGAGAGAGAGAGAGAGAGAGAGAGAGAGAGAGAGAGAGAGAGAGAGAGAGAGAGAGAGAGAGTGGCCTCCTGCTGCTATATTAAACGACGATTAAAAGATTCCTCTGATGTGCAAGATTAATGGAGAAATTGGTGTTTCCGTATGGGTGTGCAGGCAGCTGCACTAATGACTCCGAAAGACTGTCTCACTAAAATTGTACAATGTAGTGTCAGTCAATAAGAGTATAGTAATTGTTGTACCCACAAGAAGCAAAAAGCGACAACTTTACCAAGCTTTAATGGCCATATAATATAATTTGGCATATTCTTCCGTGAGTTGTGCCCCATGTTTAGACATCGTCTGTTTTGCGCTCATTAAATACCAAAATGAAATATTGAATAATGGTCTTTATACCAAGGGATTTTTCCCTTTCTTTTTTGATGAAACAAAATACTCGACCCATTCGCTTATTTTTGCTAGTTGGAAGCCAAACAAACCGAGTTTTTTTCCAGGGAATCCCTGACATGCATCCGGTAACACTAAATAAATTCAGTTGATACATTGTTATTAATGTCTATCATAGTCATAATCTTCTATCGCTTAGTAACAGTAGTGCTTCGTAGTATATTGTAAATCTATATTGCCTATTTTGTCAAAGTTCAGGGAGTGGGTTGTATATTTACCCCATAGCAATTCCATGAGTCATTATTATAATCGAAGGGATACCGAAAATGTATTGTCTGCGGTCGATAATTATTGCAAAGAGACGCTGTTAATGATCAATCTTGATTTTTGGTAGATATAACTTCATGCTGAACATCAGAATAGTTTGAGGCATTTCGTGCAAACGAGGTAATATTGTGTCTAACTATAGACCAATTAATTTTCAATTAATTTTCAAAATGTATTTCTTCGTTGCGAACAAAATTGCCTATTTTAGTTTTGTTGATAAGATCACTCATCCAAACTTGTCCAAATACTTCAAGACTATCAAGAGTGTATGCCTAATCTATACAGCCCTAGATCTATTTATTTTTCTTCTGAAAAAAAGAAGAAAGTTTACCAGCTTGTCCGTCTAAGGATGTCAAATGCTTTAACGTTAACGTCAAGACTCAAGAGGGGAATTCCTGTATTTATATTGCATCGATGTGTTTAGCTTGGCTACTTTTTAAAGAGAAATTGAGTACGTAAAGGAAGGATGAGGGGGAGTACAGAAAATAGGCAAACAACAGACTGTAGAAATATATGTATGTAGAGAGAGGGAGAGAGCTATGATGAGGGATGGGGGGGGGGGGGTTGGGGCGGGCTTAAGTAGACAAAATGTAATGGTTTAGGAAAAGGAAACAAACTGAAAGGAGGAAAAGAAATGTTTGGATCGTCTCCAAACTCTTGTCTATTGACCCCTGGGAGAACTAAATGGGCTGTAAGCATGAAGTTCCCGTCTCTTCTAAAATGTATTGTCGATCATCATCCAAAACTTGCTAGTCATCGTGGCCATATTTTGGTCTTGTCCCATCTGTATCCAATGCTTACAACTGTGCCAAACCCCTTGACGTTGTTCTGTCCTTGGCAATTCAATGTCTGATATATACTCCTGTTCTGCAGTGTCCAATCTAGTTTGTTGTAAATCACATAATCACATCGAGGGACACAGTAATGTGCAACGAAAGTGATAGTGCCAATTCTATATTGTATATTGGCAGCCATTTTGAGCCTTTAGTCGTATCTGAATCCACCATGGCAAAGACAGTCTTGCAAAATATAATAATAATCTCGCACACCTGCGCGCGGCGTAGTCAAGGGGAGGGGGGAGCTGGGACACCTCCCCCCTCCCCCCGACCTGAATAAAGAATGGCACTTTGATACTAACTAACAATGCGTTCACTCTCTAATACATAAATTAAAGATACATAGTTTCGATACGTCAAAATGCAATTTATCGCTCAGTTGTTTCGCTCCCACGCAGGATACTCGATATGATGCTCTTCACAACGATTTGTTCTAGTTTCTGCCCTCCCCCTCCCACACCGCAATACAAATCCTGCCTATGTCGCTGATTTCGCGAAAGATGAAATTTCGACTGACAGATCATAAGAGATAATGTCAACCCCAAACTTTATTTCAAAAGAAAGAAACATTTGATTAAACTTACGAAACACGATCCCGTCTCTAAATTGGTTGTGTTTTAATATTCTACATGTATGACTTAAAACCACCTGCGGGATCTAGAAATATGGATATAATTATGCAGTGGTATTTGAACCACTTTTAATTTGTGTTATGGTAGATAGCGATAGTTGCAAACCAGTCAGACATAAAGTGTTAAATTATAGAAATATAATTATTTCGTTAGTTTTTATCTGCTGGATAAAAGCGCATGCTAAAATCGTGGTGTTGTAATGAAAATAAGTTATCCTTCCGGCATGATTTGCCAATGGTAGGTGTCAAGTTTGTTTGGTTGGGACCTTTGACCTCTGGGCATAACAATCATCGGGTGATGACAACCATGACCTGACCCTGCTGTACTTCAAGTTCAAATTCAGACGTATTGCTCAAATCAGTTTGTACTCCATCCATAAACATTAGAAAGCTATATGCCTTGTGCATCTGCGATATCATTCAGCATAGAAGTTATTTTTCGTTTTTCAGTTTTATTATTATTAGTTTACTTTACAAATGAAGGCTTTAAATTAACCCACTTGCAATCGAACCCCGTGGTTTCAAATGAAATGAGAAACGATTGCCATATGCATGTGGTTAATAATCGAGTGGTCATATGAAATACACTGTGGTGAACGACACAATAATTATCTCAACCACAATGACCGTCTGCTTACTGCATTACTTCAACGCATTACTGAATTACCGAAACGCAATCTATCCTTTTAGAAGTAGAACAATGGAAATGTTTACAAACACAGTGAAGAATATATTTACATAACCATGGACCTACTATAACGGATATAGTATTAATATGTATAGAGATCATGGAAATAATATTCCCCTACTATAACGGATATAGTATTAATATGTATAGAGATCATGGAAATAATATTCCCCATGCAGTTGTAATAAGTTGTATAGAGGTACAGCTATTCCTACAGTATCTGCCCCGAGCTTCGAATATCCAGCATAATGGATTAACTTTTCAATCAAGTCATAAATGTCTGAAAAATACAAGAATGTGTTAAATCAACATGATAGAGAATAAAATCAAACCTAGGTGTTTTAATCACCAACCAAAAGTAATGCCTGAAAGTGCATCCATATAAAACTTCGCAGTTAGAAATAAAGACCCTTTTCATTCTGTTATATTGAATTAAACAGTTTTTCTTTAAAAAATACAATGAATATTACGTATTTGGGGGAGTTTGGCTTTCATAATAATATCTATCCCAAATATCTAAACCCTGAATTAGTGTTTTACCAATTAAAAGGGCCGAGGAGTGACCAACTGACCAATTTTTCAAAATGGTAGTCAGAATAACACTTTGAACATGCTGGATCCAACAATATAAAGGTTGATGGTAAATAGTGTGAATCTGGTATTTTGAAAGAGTGGTCACTTTTCGCCCATTATCAAGGATGATAATTTTAGTTTTTACAGTTTATCGCCTCCGATCTGTTGTGGCTTGTGAGCATCGTAGATCCATGCTTGATAATTATGACAGGGGTGGGTATAGGATGGATCCAGGTTTGTCAAAAAGAGGGGTGTCGAAAACACAGTTCCTTCGAAGATGATTCCCTGGGATTGTGCATTTTGAGAATACCTACTCCTAGTTGCCACAGACACATGAGTTTAAACTAACTTGTTGGTTCGTTTTTATAGGTGAACATGTTGTTTAAAAAATTATGAACATAATAATAGCCCTTTTAATTTTATTTTCAAATGGGAGGGGGAGGGTAGCCCCTTAAACCTATTGGTTTAGTTACCCCATCTCACCATGCCTGGGTGGAGGTTAATATCAAATCACACCAAGCGTGTGATCGATGACGACATCTTGATGGACATCACACTGACAAAACCAACGGGTTTCCTCATCGCCATGCAAGTATGATAATGAACTGGGGAGAGAGGGGCATATCCAATGCCACGTCCAGTTATGCGACACTTATTCTTCCGACAATAAAGTTCCGCGGTTATGTCCTCCACTTATTACTTACATAAACCCTGGAACCAACACTACATCTTACTCTAATCCTAATCCTATCCCTAAACCTAACCTAAAACTCAACTGCAACTCTAACCTTAACCCTTTACTTCTGACAGTATAAAGCCCGGAGCAATTACCGGGGCACCCCTCTGCCCCCTTTGAAACAATGAAAATAAAAATCTGTGTCTATAATGATATCATGGCAGAGTACATACAAGCGATATTTGTGTGAAATTATATTATAGTTCAAATTAGCCAATAAAAGCCAGTTTATGATAATATTCTTAGTTTTATTAAAGGTAATGGTTTATAACAAACGTAATTATGTTTGGTAATTTGAATAGCTTACAGCCTGACTGCCATTATTCATAATTCTGTTCCGATTTATAGTATTGTTGCAATTTTGATATTCACAAGAACATTACATGATCAGTATTGAAACTTATCTCTAAAGTACACGTGGGTTATCGGGGGATTTTTCGTTCTGTTTGCCATTAACTTTGATCGTGACCTTTCCCTGTGCTTTGTCGAAGTCATATTTACTCAGTTGATCTGTGCTAAAGTAATTACTGCTAATAGACCCTTAATGGCGGAAATTGAGATTTCCTTGTATTGTGCAGATTTGTCTACAGTAGACCGGAGAGACCTATTTATTATTAGACTAACTTGGTACAGGGTAAAGCGGGGAACAGTTAGTAGATTATAAGATTAGTGTCAAAATCAAATTGAAGTTTTATCATGAAGCAGACAAATTTAAGAAGAATGGAGAAAATGAGACCGTGAGATGTTAATGTGAATGCCCAAAGTTCAAATTCGTTATGGAAGGCTGCAGTAACAACTAAGCTTTTATAATACATGTACATGTATTATATCTGAAACATAGGCGTAGTCATGAACAATGACAGTGTTATTATTATGACGTTCAAAAATTACTATTTACTTTGCTTCCGTTGAGGTTAAGATTGTACGGTTAGGGTTGGATTAGGTTTATGTTACAATAGAGACTATACAGGGTGCCCCCCCCCCCCTGCCCAAAAAGGGTGAAGAGTAAATTTCACCAGTAATAATGTATGCAGAATCTTCTTTGAAGAAAAGTAATACCAAATTTGTTAAAATTGGTGGCATGTTTTTTCTCTAGACGCATTTTTTGTAAAACTTTGTTGAAGACTGAAATCCATTGGCAGTGCTCCTTGAAGAAAATAATTTCAAAAATGGTATTTTGCCTGAGGCCCTGAGCTTTGGGCAAGCTGTAATAAACGTCAGATTGAACACAAACATAACATTCCATCAATTTTGTCATGACTTCTTAAACGCAGACATGACATTATATACGGATTTCTTAAAACGCAGTTTCATTGATATTGGCCTGGAAAAATAATCATGAACTCCTACTTCGCATCACAAAATGCTCCCTAAAGACAAAAACCCCTCAACCAAATTTGTCTATCTTGGCATCATTTTTCATATGAAAAGATTCTATTTCCGCTGGTATCAAGTGAATTCGACCCCACGTTATTGGAAGTATGCCAGTCTGTTGTTATTGGGTCACCCTGAATTTCGAAAACAAATACAAATTCATGTTGGTTCATGATGTTACAATGATTGCTAGACTGGTGATCATGATATTATTCTAACATTTAAATAAACGGTTTGCATTACTCCCATTTACGTATGAATGTTTATTTAGCATTGATAGGGGCGGAAAGCCAGGATAATCGTCCTTTATTATGTTCGATTCAATTAATTTCACTTTATCAGAATCCATCTTTGTGTTTAATAAAAATATTTGTAACATACATTGATCAAAAACATGCAATTCCTTACTTAAATACTTTTGAATGACATAGTTATATACATGATGACAGAACTAAACTGGGCAAAACAGTTCTGTTAGAAAACCGAAAAAAACATGGTTTTGTCCAGACAGCTTGCCAGAAAATGTTACATAGTTACTCAAAAAGAAGCAGAAATAGTACCCAGACTCTTCTCTCCAAATGACAGACAGGAAGCAAGGTCTGATTTTAACGATGTCGCAATGACATACAACGAGTGACAGCATATTAGATTTTGTTATAACCAATGCCAATCTATTTATACTAATTGATTTATTATTTTCCATATATTCATTATCAGAGGTGAAGTTTGCTGGTTCATGTGACTTCGAGACGGATGATCTATGCGGGTACGTCCAGGGGGATAGAGATGATTTCAACTGGAAGAGGAGAACAGGGCCCACCCCATCGAGGGAGACGGGACCAACTTATGACCACACCCTTGGCGAAAATGGCACAGGTATGTATAGTGAATATGGGATTTAAAACCCCACTGCACTACATTTAACTACTTGCGTCCTCTATACAGCCAACAATGTCTAAGCGGTACCCGTTGATCCCCATGATGCCTTTTTTCTTATGGTAATTGAGAGCTGATTTGATGAGATAACCACCTGTCAGTGACCTTGCCGGGAGGTCTAATCCCTCCACGCCAAACTAGTTCAGAGGGGATTTAAGACACACTTTAGAAAGTATTTGAACATAGGTAGACACGGATTGATGATGACTAAAGTTAAAAGTGGTGGCAAATGCAGTATATGTATTTGCGTATTACCAATGTTTAATTTCGTGTCATCGAATTCATGCACGCATACAATGTGTGCACCATCTCCATTTTGATACGCGGTCACTTTTCTTAACTAATCAATTCCCCATTAAATTCATCTCTAGACCAAACGTTATACTCAATCCTAATACTAATCGTTCTTTATTTATTATAATATTGTATGTTTTTCTATTCGGGAAGTTAAATCAATCAAACAAACTCTAAACCTAACCTACAACCATTACTGAAGGCATAACCCTAGGTTATAATCTTTGACGAAATAAAGCCTGGCACAAAATAATGTCGGATCACGAATTATCAATATATCTATATATTATGAATCAGTACACCAATTGCGTTCATATTCTGTAGAGGTAACCGTTTTCCTCCCCCTCCTGACATGGCATCTACAGGTCACTACGCCTACATAGAAGGGACGGGTGTCCACGCCTGGAACGCAGCCCACCTGATCAGCCCCTCCCTTGCACCCCTTCCCCGGTACTGTGCTACCTTTTTCTTCCACATGTTTGGGGAGGATACCGGGGAGTTGAGCCTTCGAGTCCTGGATGATTCCCAACCAGAGCAACTCTCTGCAGAGCTTTGGACCATGCTGTGGGAGCAGGGTGATCAATGGTTCAATGCGAGCGTCGATGTGGAGTGTGCACGGGGATGCAAGGTAGGCAATGGAATCGGTTGAGTTTTTCAATGACCAATGCATTAATTTTATGCTTATGAAAAGAAAAAGAAAATATCAGCAGTTTTAAAGTTGTATTTTAATCGGCGTTTTGTGGAGTGTAGAACATTTAACATGATAAAAATAAATCAAAAGGTGGAGGTGAGGGGATAGGCAGGAGGTCTAGCGGTTCTATATAGAAAGGGCTTGGGTTCAAGCACCCCATTTACTTCATTACCCCCCACCCCCTCATTTTTGATTTTACATGAATTTAAGGGAGGCACACCAAGAAAATAATTTTTGTGAAAGACTCCCCATCCACCGCCCCGGCCAACGCCCATCCTCCCAATAATAATAATACTTTCTCTTAGAACCGCATCCGGGGAGTGGTATATAAGGAGTACGAAAAAGACAGTTATAACTGTGTTTAAAGATAGGTGAATCACTTAAGGTACAGAGAAGCAACCTATGGTTAATGTTTTACAAGAAGTCTAACGGTTTAACAGGGATTTATTTATCATGTCCTCATTAAATTGATGTTTATTATTTCAAAGATTTGTAATGTGTAAATCAAAGATGAAGAGATTAATACGGTTTCACCCATTTACAGCTATCATTTGAAGCTAAACCTGGCAATGGTTACTGGTCTGATATAGCTATCGATGATATCACAGTCGTCAATGGCAGCTGCTTTCCAGAAGGTACGAAATGGTTTCTTTTCTTATCTTCACCCCTCTTTTCTTTAACTTCTTCTTCTTCTTTTCTTCTTCTTCTTTTCTTCTTCTTCTTTAACTTCTTCTTCTTCTTCTTCTTCTTCTTCTTCTTCTTCTTGTTCTTCTTTTATTTCTTTTCTCCCTTCATTTTCCTTCTTTCTGCTTTCTTCTTTTTAAAATTATTATTCTTATTCACTCTATTATTTATCTGCTTCTTTTCCTCCTAACCTTCATTTCTTTTTTTTCTTCTCCTTCTTCTTCTACTTACATTTCTCCCTATTCTCTCTTTTTCACATCTTATCCTTTCTTGTCATTTCTTTTTTCTACTAATATCCTCCTCCTCCTTTCCTCTCTTATCAATATATCTGCATATTCCCATATGTTCTCGTTCTTGTCATCATCGCGATCCACTCTTTTTTTAGGTGGAAGCTTTATTCAACTGATAAATGAGTTTGCTAAGGAAATGTGGCTCATGCATGCACTTGAATGAGTGATTGATTTAGAGTAACTGAAATGCTGAAACATTAATTACTTGAACCACGTGAGTAGATGTACACCAATATATCATGCTCAGAGTAGTTTTGACATAAGTAAAAAGTGTCGAAGCAATATATCTTTCTCCACGTCGTCTTCTGAAAGCACTTATATTGTAAACTACCCCTCGTTGGGTACATTCCGTCATCAATAATTTACCAAAGTTTTTTTCTTCTTCTGAGTTGAATGTTCTCAAAATCACCTTGAGATTATCATTTCCTTGTCTTTTGATATATGCGAGGACACACATGTGAACTGAGGTATTATCTTTGTCACATTATATTTCCTTCCGTTTAACGGTGCTTAAGCAAACGATTCTTTCCCATAGAGTATACGATGGATAATAAGTTACTTATATATTTTATCAAAACATATCCTTGATTTTTGTTAATGGTATCTTTAATCATAATCTAAGTTATGTCGGGAAAAGATATCAATATTTTGGAATATATCGGCCTATAACTAAAAATAATAATAATAATAATAACTAGAATTTAATTCGTCACGAGGACGAATAAGGTGGTCTGCCTTCAAGTTATATAGACATGTAAACAATGATGATCATCATGATGATCATGATGATGATGATCTTGATAGTAATTGTGATGACGAATATGATGATGATGATGATCATGATGATGTTGATGATTATCATCAACAGACCATGATGACATCAGACTGAAAAAAATGAGAGAACATTGAGATAGTATATAGTCTCAGCTACAACATACTCAAAAATCAACAAAAATCAAGCCGAAATAACGGCGATATTGCTCGCAAAAGACAAGAATGTAGAATCCAGATTTGAGAAAAAGTCATCTCCCATAAGGATTACACGCAAAAAGTAATGGATCAAGTGATAATAGGGTAATAATAAAGTAAATATGGTTGTTTATTACATTATTTGCGATTGTATGTGTTTTAATATTCAAAGGAGATGGTACAGTGAAAGGTCAAAAAGAAAAAAAAGTGAAGAAAAAAAATTGTTGGAGACGCCCGGACTCGAACCAGGGACCTCGAGGTCGGAAGTCAAGTGCGTTGCCGATATACCAAAACATTTCCTATAGAGATTACACGTAAACGGAAAATGTAATTCTCAAATCCCACTTTGTAAGTGAAATATGAGCATGATCCCGGCATCTGATCGAAAAATAAAAGGCACACTTGTGATAGCTTATTGTCTCAGCTACAACATACTCAAAGCTCAGGGTAAACAAAGATAAAACGACGGAGATATTGCTCGCGAAAGACGAGAATGTAGAAACCAGTTTTGAGAAAAAGTCATGTCCCATAGAGAATACACGCAAAATGTGAAAAATTGACATGCCTCCTTTAATCGCAAAAATACGCCATGATGCCTTTGTCAAAATGAAATATCGTGGTGACTGCATTTGTAGAGAATATTCTAAGGTAGAACATATCAAAATTTGAAAGAAAATTGATCAATATTTGCAGAGATACAATCAATTTTCCAAAAATCTGCTGACGTCATAATATGAAAATTGAAATTTTGAGTTCGGAGGCCATTATGATGACGTCATGAGTTAATTGAGGGTCAAATGAAACATGAAATCATATCTCCAACTCATAATCTATTTAAATATGAAAGAAATTGGGGGGTATCTATCCATCCTGAAGAGTTACAATGAATTTTGTATAGGCATGTTTTTGCACATGTATGTTATGTATTACAAGAGCTCGCACGCACGGTAATTATCTTAAACGGACGCTCATTCCGTTATTAATGGGCAGAAAAAGTTGAACAAGGTATCAAAATGCTTGAAAAAATGTGCCAAATATGATGACAGAAAAAATTTGGCGATTCTATGTTGGAAGATGCAATTATGCGCGAAAACGCGCGCGCATGTCCGTGCGCGCGTTTTTTTGCAAAATGCTTAAAATGGCCTGAAACGTATGCAAAATTAATTTGGAACGAATTTGACCATTTTAAAATTTTAATGCGCGCGTACGTGCGCGTCGAGGTGCGCGCGCAAATTTTTTTGACATTTTTCGTTGACCTTTGACCGGAAGTTGATGTATACTAAATATGGTTTATTTTTGATTACTCGTTATTGAGATATGATAATGACCTGATTTTTACAAAATGGCGCCTGGATGACGTCACGATGACCCCATGAACTTGAAAAAGGTTTCGGGAACTTCATATCATAGGGCCTGATGACTAGCAGAAATTTGAAGGAAATTGACCAGGTCGAGTTCGAGTAAACGTATACACAAAAAAAGTGTACGGAATAAATAAAAATAAATAAAGAATAAAGAATAAAGAATAAAGAATAAAGAAAGAAAATTCTAACGAAATCAATAGGTGATCTGTCATCGACAGACCACCTAATAATTGTTTAAAGAAAAAGAAACGGTTTGAAGAAATCAATTAATAAGCGAGCGCTTTATCATTTACATTTCCATAAAATTATTCAGGGAATTCGGGGTTATAATACAACAAATCAATCTGACATTGTTTCATAATAACTTTCAAATTTTACAAAACTTGATATTAAAATGCGCGTTTCATTTTGTGCTATTATAGGTGATTGCTATTTAGGTTTCTGTCTTCTATAACATATCATAAAGGAATATATGTAAAGTGGGAAGATGAACTTTTAGGAGGATAAAAATGAAAGACAAGAAAATGATAGTAGTTTGTGAGGTGGAAGAGAGAGAGAGAGAGAAGAAAGCGACAAGAATGATCAATAGATAAGTAGGGTCGATGCGAAGGTAGAAAACCTGTGAAAAATATGCAGTTGCCATTTTGGTTTTGTAATTCCACCAAAATTGTAATATATACTTCGCAATACAGTCCATTTCGTAGTCAGTTTTGTTATCGAAAATTGACCTAACCGCAGACACGCCGTGAAGACATGACGTAAGAAAATCATTTTCATATTTTGACGTCATCAAATTCTTGAAGGACCCACGCATGGAGACCAGGGTCCTTTTTAGGGTTGCAACAGGGACTTGTGGGGTGCTGCATCCTCCCCTAAATCGAAAATCGATACAAACAAGAGCAAAAGTTTACGTCAAAGTCAAAGTATGAACATTATGACATGGGCATGATTGAAATAAATTAAACATATATAATTTAATCAGTTTTTGGCGATGGCAACCGTCCCATCCCCTCCGAAAAAGGCTTTGAATGCCACACACGCCTGCGATGCCAGTGGGCGTTAGCTCTCAAACTCACCAAGCAACTCGTAATTAGACCTGGTCCCATGCCGAGTCTTGACCCCGATACTTCCCGCATGATGTGACCTATACGTCTACCCATCCGCCTCCCTGGTCTGACTTGCTCGCTCCTAAAAGATGCACGCAGACTAATTTAATTTCATTTGTTTTGTTTATATATGAAACATGGCATGTGGCCGGTGGCAACGTTGGGGCATTCTAGAGGGGAACTCGCATGCCACTGGTCAGCTTACAAAATGGAAAGATCTCTGCTATGCATCATGGTTATATTAATTTATATAAATTTTAAACACTTCCTTCAGAGTAACCCCATCAGATGATTTGTTTTACTATGTTTTGATTGTTTTATACGCAACAATTTTATATTTGGTTTTCTCTCTCGCCTCTCTATTCCTTGTTTCTTTCTTTCGCCTATCCTGCACATTTCTGTTTTTCTTAATGTATATATAATGATTTGTTTTTGTTTTGTTTGCTTGTTTATCATTGTAATCATATCTCAAATGTATTTTATCAACAATTTGTATTTTTATCTTGTGGATGGACCCCTTTGAAGACCAGCTTTTAGCTGAAAAGGGTGATCCTTCCCATATGTGGAAAATAAATAAATAAAATAAAAAAATAAAATTAATAGAAGAAAGTAATAACTCTCTCCCGGTTAGTGAGTACGTATATTAGGGCCCGCCCCACACCCCCCCCCCCCAAAAAAAAGAGGATCGGAGAAGAGAGAAATGGGGAAAAGTCTTAATTTGACCAGCGGGATTACATCAGTTCGATTATTCAGCGTACTAGATTATACTACGTATAAGGAGCGATTTTGACAGTTGAGGGGGGGGGGGCTGCAGCCACTAGCTCACTTTTAGTAGATATACAAGACAACATCATTGCGATAACATTATTTAATTTGCTTGTTTCCATGTTCAGCCCCCTATTTGTGGAGTTTTGCATGGACTTTGATCAGTTTACTTATAAGTCATCGATCTATATCTACTTGGTAACGCATGGGACAGGATAGCTTGGTCTTGCTTATTTTTGTGTATTTCCCTTTCTCTCCTTTATCTTACCATGGAGATCGAGGGGAACATGGTATCAAATCTATCACTCTTTCAGCTGTCCTATGGTTTAGTCAAAATGACCCATTATTAAAGATTGATCAAACATGACGTGCTCGATGCATGTACACTCTTGACAAATCGGATCTCCCGTGTGGGAATCTTTCGCTTTCTGTGTGTCATCATGATCGTCCATCAATATTTATACAGGATGCTTCATGGGTTTCTTTCTCTTTCGATGAGAAAGTTAAACTAGTTTGTAATTACCTCATAATCACCTAACCAGGGTTGTTACTAAAGGGGAGTAGACCGTGTGCGCCCCCCCCCAAAAGTGTGTGTGTGTGTGTGTGGGGGGGATGGGGGGGGGGGGTAACATCCTCTTTTTATTTAGAAATGTCCTGTTGCGAAATTCGATATTTTACAGACTGTCGATACATTTTTTGCTTCAATAATTGTCTTGAAAAAGTTTGATCATTAATTTTGTTGGCGATATTCAAAATCCGAAAAACCTTTGTCACACCAAATATGAATTGTATATTTGTATGAGTACCCCTTTTATTGTTCTTAATTGTTGTAAAGGTACTGCTCCCTCGTTGTTTCAACACCCCCCCCCCCCCCCTTCGAAGTGGTCGGCGATCATCCACGCTTGAAAAAAAAAAACGAAATTGAAGAGGTGCCAATGATAACTCACCATTTTATGGCTGTAAAATGTAAAGGTAGTCGGTTAGATCACTTGTATCCTTTTCATGTATTTGTTTTTGCTTTTGTTATTTAAACAGGAGATCATTCGACCCTCAGACCTAGCACGACGTTCATCGGTACATCTACCGAAGAAACTTCCACTTTGCACCCCTCCACGGTGGCAGGCACGCACCCCTCCCCGCATTCAACACTCGATTATCAGATCATTGAATACAAGTACGACGAGCGATTCATCACCATCATCTTGGCCGTTGGGTTGACATTCTGGACTGCTGTATTCATCATCATCTTCATCATCTTCTGTTACTGTGACAAAAGACGAAATGGCGGCAGATCACATGGATTGCATTATGACGTCACAATGGACCCACAGCATCCTGAGAAGCAGAGTGCTAGCATGACGACGTATGTGGAGATCGATGAACAGGAACGGGAGCACGTCGAGATGGTGGACGGTGTGGACGATGATATCGTGAAGTTAAAAGCAGGGAGATCGGAGACAGGTTGTTCGGATGAGAGTTCGTTGGATTCTGAGAGGTACAGTGTTCCCATCATCACCACGCCCAAACCGCCGCGAGGTCCATCGCCGTGTGGGTACATGAGCCTACAGCTCGATAGCTTGAACAATAACGGCAATAACGAATACCAGCCGCTAAGCCCTTTCGATTTGACAGAAGTTACAGCATAGCATATTGGACTTATTGACTACAAAATCATTAAAGATAACTCATAGACATTTATCATATAATCGATGTAAATATGCCGTGATGAGGATTGAATTTGGTGGTAAAAGACTGTCAAAAATTTATATATATTTATTGATTTCAATATAGAAGTACTTCATAGTTCACAGTAACCGTCACGCGTTTTTCCGTTATCACCGAGAGTATTGATTTGATATCATCGACCGTGCGGAGTACATGAGTGACTGTGAGCGGTCAGCTAAGAACATTATTCATGAAAAGAGAAGGAGGAGGATTTCATGTATCATGAAGTTTCGAGACGTCATGTAAGTCAGTAGTCTGGCATCAAGACAAGAAGTTTACACCAATCATATCCAGAGCTCTTATATCCTTGGAAACAATACGTGATATTAACATTTTTTATCCGGAACCTTCACCTTAGTATTTGCACAATTTTTGAACTTCTGTAAACAGGTACAAATATGGATGAGCAAAAGTACCTATTTTTTGCTAGGAAGGAAAATTATGCCGAATATGTAAGAGATCATTGTTTCAAAAGACATTGGGTTTAGATATTGTATTTCTTGATTGCCGATCGCCTTATTTCAGAATATTGGGAAGATTCAACAAACTATATCTCGAGTATATTTATGTGCTTGTAAGCTTCAAGTTCAATTACTCATCGAGTAACATTTCCTTGCCCGAAATAAACTTTTTAGAGCGGAAATAATTGCCAAAACAGAGAGCGAATAAAATATGTAACAAATGCAATCACAGGCTTCCCTGTCTGCTTTGTTGGAGAAGAAACCATTTCCCGCTTGATTTCCCCGATCTGAAAAACACCGAGGATGATTTATTTTGATGAGTTAATGGCACAGAAAGAACAACAAGTTTCTTATCATAACAGGAAAACCAAAGTGAAGGCCGTCTATTCTTCTTTTCTCTCGGGTGGAATGCAATTCTATTTCTGGCCTGCCAGGTTCCTCCAAATATCAGGGTTCACACGTCTGCGATTATTATTATTTTCGTGAAGGGAGGTGCGTTTTTTTCTTTAGCCTCCCCCACCCCCCTAAAAAGGGTACCTGATATGATGTTTATAGAAGAACTTCGGAATCAATGACAGAATGAAAAATAGGTATACCCTTGAACTCCACAATAAACGATTTCCACTTGGTATATCTGCGCATATTTTAGACATATTTTATTTATTAGAGAGAAATACACCTACACATTTATATATACTTCAAGCACCCATCCGACTTGCTTTAGTTTTCATGAGTTTAGTTTCATCTTTTTTACCATCAAAAGTCGATGGCTTCCCGGATTTGAGGAAAAAGTCATCAGTTTTTTTTCTAAATCTCAAGACTTTGTAACTTATTTGATGTGATGTCAAAATATATGCCAAGACTTTGTATTTTTGTATCCAATTAGAAAAATGCTACACTATTTCTCTGATGTTTGCATCAAGTGTTCGTATCAGAAACAAATTCTTTATTTTGTGTGTGTGTGTGTGTGTGTGTGTGTGTTTTTCAAACAGCCTATCAAATCAGTTATTCGGTAAATCTGTAATCAGTCACTGCTACACATTAACCAATCAAAAGCACTCTCTCGTATAATACAGAATTAGACATCGCTCAACAACCAATCAAATTAAGTCTATCAGATAGCTTTGTAAATATCTGATCAAGTTCACCGTTTTTGTTGGTTGTTTTGTGGGGGCAAAATATACGATAACCGATTTGGAAATGATATGAAATGTGATATTCTTAATCCTTTTTTTTTAATTGAAAAAAGTTGACTCTTCCGATGAGAATATTATCAAACACAAAAATTCAGGGATTTGTTGAGTGATTTCATATTCATTTAGTCTCGAAAAGTTGTAGGAATAATGATCTTAATTTTGTGTTTATGTGAATTGATTGAATTTGATATGATTGTGAATATTTGACATAAAAACCTTGCCAAATGAAATTTTGTATTACAGTTCCTTTTCGAATGTGTTATACAATTGTGCAATTAATATATAATGGAAATATGTATTTCATTTACAAATGGCTTTAAAAGAGACTGCACCAGATATAAAACGCATTCAAACATGAATTTCAAAGATATCATAAGAGTTTATTTCATTAAAATCAAGCTGCGATTTCTGTACTGATCCATTTCTATAGCAAAAATAGTCATGTTATATGAAATTGGTTGTAATAATTCAAAATATAACTATTCATACATATTAGTATCATTCATAATAAAAGTTTTGTCTCCTATATGCCTCTATATCATCTAAGAATGTATTTGAATACATTGGCTTCTTGCATTTAAACTACATGAATACACAGGAAAAGTGATGCTAATACTGCTCCATCTAAACACTATAATTATAAAAATGTAATGCTTCAAATCTCACGATTCATCAGATATCATGAATAAAAATTGATTGTTTGTATATTTCAAAGTATTTCAATGTATTATAGTTGTTTGTTGTTTGAGAAACTCATTCTCATGTTCGTGATTGATCAGTTCAATTCACTTGAAAGACGTTGTTGAAAGATAATCCTGGGCCCCGTCTTACACAGAGTTGCGATTGATCCAAATCAATCGCAAGTCCTCCAATCGATCGCAAGTCTGCAGTCTCCTATCTCTTATGTACATAGTTGCGATTGATATCAATTGCAAATAAGTTGTGATTGATATCAACTCTTTGTAAGACAGGACCCTGGTTACAACCCATAGTATGAAAGACTATATGTTTGCTTCATGACAACTAGAAATATACCTTTTCTATTGATATATATATATACACAATGATGAGGAATCTAATATTTGAAGCTGTATACAAAAAAGTCTAGTAATTCTGTACCTACTCTACCAGCTCTGACATAATCTTTGATATACCAAACACTTCTAAAAGCATTTTTTTTAAGTACATCAACAAATACATAACAAATAACATATCACGGATTATTAAGTATTTCATTTAAAATGTCAAAATCAGCAATTTTCAATTTACAAGGGATACTCAAAATATAAGGATACACTAAAGGAAAGGAAAGTACAGGTGATTAATTTAATGTACTGAGAAAAGTGTTGATGGAGGGAGAGAGAGAGAGAGAGAGAGAAGAAAAGAAAGAGGACAGAAAGAATCCATTTCAGTTAGTTCACTTAATACCAATGTATACAATACATCACTTAAATAATAAACCCTTCCACCCTACATAATATCTAAGACTAAAAAGCTTTAAAAATATACATGATATAATTACTATTTTTGTCTTCTCTTTCTGAAATATCTATACACGTAATATAACATGTTAACTTCACCCATCTATGACCTGGGCCCGTGGCATAAAATAATGTATGCAATCTAAATGGCAATATCCAATCAAGATCATTATTACATGAATTATTGTTCAAAAGGCTGACCATTTACCAATCATAATCATTGTTTTAAATTTGCAATCGATCATAGGCCTTTGTGTTACAGCCAGACCCATGTTGTATACGGTTCTCAAATGCTTTTTATTCTACTTTGCAATTTTTCTTCCTAAATATTCCTTGGAGTGACCAATACGTGTTACGCTGAATATCATTATTAAAGATTTCACATTAGTATACTTGAATACATCTACTTTACACATAATATATATAAACACAGAATATTATTTGTACTATAATACAAGCTACATGTATAAATAAAACATCATACCTTTATCAAATGAATGTATACGGTTTGCTTCATTTACATAATGATGTAACACTATTTAACAAAACCTGTGTTGCATCAACCCTACATGAATGCAATAGCTGCTGCTACAAATAGCCTGCTTTTTATTTTTTGTTGTGTCTTGCATGTTTACTTTTCAAATGAATTTTAGTTGGACAAAAAGGAAGTTACAAATATGAAGAAAAATCTTAATAATAACATTCATGTCACAGTTCCTAAAATGGAGGACCATTCGTGTGTATTTTCTGTGTCTCTGTTTCCTCATCTTAAAATAAATGTTGAAAATTCCTAACTCAGAAGAAAATAATGATGACAGAGATTGCAAACAAATGCAAAGTGACTATATTACCCAATATTTTCACTACCAAATATTAAAGTAATAGCAAATCTTTTTGAACAAAATGTAAACATGAAGGTCACTTTTTTACCACAGAATTATCGTGAAATCCTTTAATCCATAAGCTGATCTTATGTAGTCAGAAGTAACAACTGTGTGCAATTGTTCAGTGAGGCCAAAATGGTATCATATATAAAACCACAACCTACACATGTAATGTTTAACACTGATCACACTACCAACAATGACACATTATCAACATACATAATGTAATATTCCTTTCTTATTCAATCAAACCGTTTGTGAAGTAGGGAAGATTAAGTTCTAAGTACATGTACAGCATTTTGGGGTTGTATTTTTTTCTTCCTATTTCACTACACGTTTGATCATTAAATTTGTTCACACAAGTCACTTTGCACTGTTTAAGAAGTGTCACCCTTGAACATATTAAATCCATCTATACTGTACATTCCACTAAAAAACAAAACTTCATAAAAACTTTACAGTGAATGTCAAGTTGTTAACACAAGAAATTTGCAATTGATCACAGTCATTTGAAATAAAATCAACTTCAGAAAGGTTATAATACAAGTGTGAATTGTGTAGTTGATTTCTGCCTGTACAACTTGAAATGATGTTCAAATGTCCACTTGACTGCAGCAGCCATTATTAAGTATCATGTCAACCACCGAATAAATCCCTGTCCCCTCGTATCACAAAACCTGGCAACAAGCCATCTCTTGATGACAACTATTTAATGTAAGACTACTCCAGGGGAAGTGCACTTTTCTAACTTTTCCCCTTCCTTACGAATCATGGTGCTCCGAAAGCGCACCGACGTTAATAACATTTAGGGTTTATTAAGTCTGAAGTATCTGGATGACTCATAGTTAGACTGTAAAACACACCAAGAATTTGTCAAAAATCAATTTTCTTACTCATATTTGACAGCCAGACAGAAAAGTACAGAGTGTATCAGAATTTTTTTTTACCACATTTGGTAACTTTTGATTAAAAGGTCATGATAGAGTGATTGAAATATATCTCACGGTAAAGAGTACTTTGTGCTTCTGTCTACCACCCAAACTTGGTACAAAAAGGAATTTTGGCAATTTTTTTAGAAAGGCAGCTGCTCTATCAAGGTGACAGAGTATTGTTTACTTTTTAAAATAAAATATATTTCATGGTCACGAAGGTGATACATTTTAATTGGGAATCTTCCAAAGTTGGGTATACTTTTTTTTATACGCACTGTATAGTCAAGTTCATGTACAAACCTAGCACATATAGAAAGGTATCACTGATGAAATCAGGCTATTTTGCTTGTACCATCAATATAGTACTATTATATCATACAAATCACAAATCATGACATACATGTACACTGTCAAATATATATCTGTAACCACTGTCAATTAAAAAAAATATGATTATATTTGAATTGAAAAAATATATTCACTTTATACATTAACATGTAAATACTCAGATTTTACAAAGTAGTTACATAATTCAAATAATTGATATAGTAGTAGTGCTGATGCTGAACATATAAATTAATATTTTTTAAACAGTAACTGTACAAATCTATCAAAGTATGGAAAAATCTTCAAATTAAAATTTAAAAATATACTTATCTCTCTCTGTGTTAGAAACAACCACAATTTTAGCATAACTTCTTTGGTTATTATCATGCAGTACTGAATAATAGCTGAATAAAATCTGAAAGACCATCATTTAGGAATTAAGTACACTTATATGATTCAAACGAATACACTCTCTTGACCAGCTGGTTGACTCGTCTGTTATGATTTTAAAAACTTGATATCAGGAGAAAAGATTGTCTCTTTGGAGCCAGAAGGGCCATAGATCTGTGTTAAGGTATACAAGATAATGCCCTTCTGCTCCCGGCAATGTTGACATATGAAACAGGATTGAATGGACACCATCATTGGTGCATTGTGGGAGAAGCCTAGGTACAGAAAGCAAACTGCGTTCAATAGAAGGCCTGGCATAGTTGCACACCTATCATACATACATCTGGGCCTCGTCTTTTAAAGAGTTGTGATTGATCCAAATCAATCGCAAGTTTGCAGTCTCTAATTTCTTATGTGCATATATAGTTACGATTGATATTGATTGCAAATAAGTTGTGATTAATATCGCCTCTTTATAAGACGGGGCCCTGATCACAGATTAAGTAGAGAGGTCCATGATTGAACGCAATACCTTGATACCCATTAGGCCTATCTTCATCAGCTCTAGATTGCCAAATATCCCGCTATTTGAACTATCCCGATCGCAAATTATCCGGTAAATTTGCGTCTTCATCAGCCCGAAGTTGCAATTAGCGGGATATTTGGTCGAGATAATCATCCCCAGATATCTTAGGCTAGTTTGCAAAATATCCCGCTGTTTGTCCGGTGTTTCTTCACCAGCCCGAAGACTCGCATTATGCGTAAACGTTGAGCAAAATATCTTGAGCTTGAGTTTCAAGTTTTGAGGTCAAGTCTTGTGCTGATGAAGTAGTGATTTGTAACTTCGGGTTTAATTCCCAAATCAGAAATAGCGGGCTATTTGGCAATCTTGAGATGATGGGGACAGGCCCATTGAGATTGTGACAGCGAGTCCTAATAATGACCTGCATCCTGTGTGCTATCCTAATACATCCTTAATCCATTGCATTCTCAATTCTCTCATTTCCCCAGGCTTCATAGAGGAAGCATCCCATCCCTGCAGGCAACTGGTTAAACTTAAAATTACTTGTGGATTCCAGGAATAGAGATCTGTATCACTAGTCCCACCCGATAGCTTCTTCGTATCACGATGACTGATGATTCTTCCTCTCTTCTTAGAACTAGGTAGACGGAGGGTTAGGGGATTTCGACCTGCTCCTGAAGGCTGATCGACGGAAAACATTGCTGCTGTGGGCTCCACCACGCTGTGTACAAGAGAGAAAGCAACAGATATTTCAGTATGCCTGTTTATGCTTGGAAGTTCAAAAATGGTGAATAAAAGTTACTTCAAACTAAGGCTTGTTGTATGTGTTAAATCATTAAATATTTTGTCGAATAATGTCAAATCTTCATTTATATATGAAATGATAGATATGTATATAAAAATATCATGATGAATCAGGGGCAAAAAAATGAGCCATTTGCTTTTTGACGTTTGGTTCACACTTTTGATGAACTTGTGTATGGACGAAATATAAACACATACCTAGGAAAAGCAATTACGAGGCATGTACTAGTTTTGTGTATTTGTCCAAAAGAACAACAATATAACAAATTCCAAAAAATTAATGAAGCAATGTAAGAAGCTTGTATTTTAAAACAAAAAGTGAAAACAAAAATCTGGTGAGAGCAACAACAAAAAACATATATGGAATAATAAAGTC